CTATATAGCCTAACCTTCTTTGTCTATCTACTAATTAAGAATATCTTACTTATGTTAATAGAGATAGTAAAGTCTCACTTTTTTTAAGGCCCTTAAGTTATATATAATATAGTTCCTAATGTTTATATTATCTAAAAAGTAACTAATGACCTATTAAACACATTAATCCTTATTTAGCAATTTTTAAAGGACTAAGCGGTCAGCCAATTTAAACTGGTTAACGATCGAAATTTGCGAGAGATCTAGCTACGCGTATAACTTACGCACCTTCGTTTTCAGCATCTCGCTCAGTTTTTTCTGAAGAATAATTAAGATCCTATCTTAATAAATTTAACTTAAGCCTTAAATAAAATTAATAAGACCCCCTAAATGTGGCGGGATATATAGGGTAAACTTCACCACGCTAAAGTTAACTCTAAGCGCTAACGCACTAGTGATAAGAAGTGCTAACACGCTATTATCTAAAAGAAATAAGCGCAGAATCAAATCTTTCTTAGGGTCTTTAGCGTTATAAAAGAGTAGGCTCAATTTTTTTGAGAGTGTTATCCCTAGTTTATATGTTAGAACGAAAATAATGGCCTTCTCTCGTGAATATAAACCCTTACACCAGAATTATTTAAGTATATAATTAATATTATTAGGGGTAATATAATAGTTAATATTTACGATCTTATACTTAATCTCCTCGTGAATAGTCTAGGCTTAAATGATTTAATTAATACCCTAAGAAAGTAAAAACTCTTTCTTTATGAGGTATAATAGGGAAATAGAGAGAGTAGCCAAGATAAAAACGAGTGAGACTCTATACTAAAGAAGACTATTCATATATTTTATGACCTATTAAAAGTTCTATTTAAGCACGATAATGTGAACCTTATCTAAATAAATTCGAACTGATCACTAGGCGTTTTAAACCTAGAGAATGTACTCCGTAAAAGATAAGTTTAGGATTAATTCGATTAAGGCTACCACTAGATTATAAAGGCTATAGGTATGATATTAACTAATCTTAGCTATGAGATCCTTAAATCTTATGACCAGGATATTTCGATCCCACGCCTATTTTAAGAGATTATTATGTAGACTAATTTAAGGCGTGACAACAATATTTACAGAGTCCTAGTACCGCGTAAACGCTGATAAGAGATAAAGAGCACTCTTTCTTAATCTAGTCTTATTAATATAGGTTAGGTATATAAGGCGGTCAAAAATTACAAGGACTGTCTCGTGCTAAAAGCCATCTTAAAACTCCGCGTTTTTATCCTTTAATAGCCTCCCTAGCTAATAGTAAATATTAACTCTTAGCTTAACTATCTCTTAGGCTTAATAGGGAGAAGTGAGTTACGTGTTAAGATTGTCTAACTCTCCCTTATCCTTAATAAACGTTATCTCGAGTTTTTCGAAGGTTAGGTTAAGTTAATTAAGGCTAAAGAGAGCGTAATAGCGCTAAATAAACTAAATCGTCTAAATATATTTTTATTAAATCTTACTCCCTAGCTAAGTCGCTAATAGGCTATAATTTAAGAGGACTATTTTTATTAAGTAATTAGCCTAGATATTAACGATTAAGTCATTTTATACGAGGGCCGAATTAATATCTTTGTTCTCTACATTAAGAAACCCTTTTATGTCTAGCCCAATCTTTTTAAGGAGAATATAATTAATAAGATATTAATACGGATTTAAACTTAGCTTAACTCGAAAAATCTGACTCAATTAAATCTAGAGACCTCTTAATAATATTAAGCTTAGGACGCGATTCGCGTTAACCTCAAATAAGAAGGGCAAGAGATTTAACTACTTAAGATATTTAATGATAAGATAGTAATATACTAGAATTATGTACAAAATATAGTACACTAGGATATAGAAGTGAGTCAATAGAAGAAAACAAAGATTACCTTAATTTTAATAGGTAATATTTCGAGTTTTATGCTAGTAAGTTATAATGCGGACTAGCCCCTAGTGATAGTCCTAAATTATGTCTTAAATATTACTCACTTAATATTTGAGACGGCAGATTGGCTGCCTATTCGGGCGGTCGTTCCCTGCCAGCTTGGCGGCAGATCTGCCAACATTGTATTGGCTATCGTCTCAGGTAGATCCACTGCAAGTCTCTTCGATGTACCTGGTCGTACTGCTCAAAGTACCGCAGTCAAGTCCATGAGTGATGTGCTCCCTTCAATGTTCAGGTAGCTGAAATTGTAACGTCTAGTTACCATGACCCGGACTGGTTCTCTTGGTCTTGCAGATCTTTGCCGTTCAAAATTTTCTGCCGGCCAAAAAAATTTCCTTCCTTCGACAGGCAGTAAACGTACAAACGTACTGGTCGAGGCGCGATTTGTGGCCCTGGCAGCTGCGCTAGCTCTGCCTTACGTCAACTTTCTGGCAACGAAGGACCATCGACCAAATGCATTCATTCTTACTTTCTCGATGTGTCGTTGGCGCGATACTGTACTCTCAAGGGGAGAATATCTCGCGTCGAATTCTGGGGTTCTGGCCGTTTTGTTACTTGAGTTCATGAGGCAGCTTCTTGACAAGGCAACATGGCAACTTGTCAATAAGGCGACAGACAAATTTTGGCCCCCGCCCTTAACTGAAGTTGTGAGTATTCCTCCTAAGTTCTTGGATGCTCAAACTAACGGCAGGTAGGAAAAGTGTTTCTCTCCTGCCATCAGAGTTAACTCCGCAGGGCCGCAAGAGAATGAAGAGAAAGAGAAAATTAGTTCCAGAGTCTCTGTGCGCTGCCTGATTATGGACAGCGAGACGCTGTAGGCTGCTGTTAAATGTTAAATGATTCTGTGCTGGGAGAGCTCCCGTCGAATGCTTCACTCGCTTGTCAGGTGCAAGCTCTTCGTCTTGCTCTTCATTTTCATCCAGACCATCGACTCTCTCGGCCGTCGAACGCGTGCAGGTGAGGTTCAGTTCAGTGTCACTTATTCTCCCAACAGCTCACGCTTCTACAGTGTATTACAATTCTTAAGCAATATGCCTCCCCAGCACCTGTACTCAGTGGTATATGCATTACACCTGTGGGCATGATAGGAACGGTGAATTTGTTAAATGTGCCAAACATACAAAGGAAGGGGGACAATGCGGTTCGGTGGACAGACAGGAAGAAAAGGCCTCTACGCATGCGTGTGCTAGCTGCCCGAAGCATTAGCCGAAGAAGGATACGATTCATGAGGCATTCATTAGGGCCCGATTAAGTCTATGTTACTACCAAGGACGCCCAGCTCCAGATTCATCAGCTAGTTTAGCTCTAAGACCCTGTTTCTCTTCATCTCTTGCACTGCTGCTCCAGTCCTTCGTACCAACAAGAACTGATGCCTCGAAATCAATGAACCTGGGTCCTTGACGCGTTATGATGGTGTTATATTTGACAAGATCGCCATGAATAAGGTAGAGATGGAGTTAGTCGAGAGCTTGTTCTGCTTCCTCAAGATCACTAAGCTCAGGGAAACGCCCCTCGGCTTTCTCAATTAAGAAGCCGATAACGCGATCTCGACACGTCTCGAAAACATAGCCGATAAATCCCGGAGCCAGAGAGTAGGGTGCTAGCTGATGGTAGGCTTGGATCTCCTGAGTCACCCACCTTCTCTCGTGTGGAAACCGTGCTATCTTGAGAAAATACTCTCGTCCTTCACAAGATACCCTTGAGGTTCTCGATTTGTATTCCTGAACGATGGATAGGCTCGCAATGACGTATAATGGGTCTCCAAAACCCAATATCTGCTCTGAAATTTGCGAGTGTGCTGGGCGAGTGTGCTGTGCGCGGCCGATAGTGGTTATTATTTGCGCAGGCGAGGCGTGGGGCGAGTTGTGCGCAGGCGATAGTGCTGTGCGCAGGCGAGGTTGCTGTGCGTAGGCGATAGTGCTGTGCGTAGGCGAGGTTGCTGTGCGTAGGCGAGGGATGCTGTGCGCCTAGGCATTTCAAGCCGCTTAGGCGAGAAGCTGCTTGGACGAGAAATAGGCGTGAAGCTGCTTAGGCGTGAAGCTGCTTAGGCGTGAAGCTGCTTAGGCGTGAAGCTGCTTAGGCCGGGCAGGATGTCGCACAGGCGAAAGGCAAGTGGGCAAGCTGCCTACGCGAGAGTTCACAGACTTGTCTCCGCCCGAGCAGCGTCAAAAGCCGCCTAGGCGGAAACGAATATGCTTAGACGAGTAGCTGCCCCGCCTAATTCGATACTGGGTTAGCCAGACTCTTGTTAGACAAAAAGGCTCAATTAAATTTTCCGTATTCTATACTGTACAATCTCAATAAATCTGCTTCATCCGCAAGATTTGGCCTTGACCAGTTGTCGGTATGAGGTTAACTCATTTCATCACTGAAAAGTAGGTGACTTCTTGTCAATTGATGTCCTAAGAGCCCGCCTTGAACTTAAAGACTTGGCTTTACGTCCGTGAAATGTGCGAATTTTCGGCATTCATCTCCGCAATTCAGAATGGACACGTCGAATGCTCATCCGCCAAAGAGGGATAGGAGTGCCGAAAACTTCAGAAAGAGGTGGCGCACTTTCATGAGAAACGGACTTCAGGTGCATCGAAAGTACCAAGCTGATGTTTACATTTTGCTCCGCCACAGAGGCCGGTTGTATGAGTTCAAAACCACTGACAACTCGTGGCCTGCCTCACCTGAAGACATTGTATAGCTATGACCTGTCATCCGTATCGACAACTGCTGACCGTCAATGACAGCCAAAAAGTTTCCCAGTGTCGGTACAGGTGACAGCTCCCAATGCGGCTTCAGCGAATGACAACTAAGCGACAAGAACGAGGAACTGAAGAAAATGGTATGAAGACGATAACCATCGGAACACACAATCTGCAGTACTCTACTACTGTATATGCGTAAATAAAATATTATTTAACCTTAAAACAACCCGTCTCCTGCATAATACCCACCTGAACCTCCTCTATCCTCAGACAGGAGTTACCCTGTAGAGATCGCAATGAATGAGATGCTGCGACCTCAGGCCCCGGATCATGCTGAAAACAGAAGGTCAAGGTTTGGATAGTGTTCCGTGGACCTTGAGAGCGTGATTTTGCAAATGGGTTTTGTCAGACAGTGACTGTTGACAAATCAGGCACTCAAGTTTCTCCGTGAGCAGGAGTTTTAGATGCCTCCTTTGAAAATGTTTGGATAGGTCAGTAGGACTGTGAAACTCGCGGATTAGTTCCTCTATGGAAGGATCGTCTGGCTCTAAGGAGAGTGCGGCGCCGACGCAAAGAAAACACTTCCTGGGCCGCTTATTTTCCTCCGTGGCAATGACGGACTTGGCGGCCTGGACCGCGGGACTATCCTCGGGTTGATCACGAGTGGCCTTGGAGTGCGGAATCTTGCGGATGGTCAAAGTGCCGGAACGAACAGTCGGACCCTCCTGCAAGGCGCAGTATGCAATGACAGCCTCAATAGCGCGGTCCCTGCGCTGGCACTCGCCTTCGATCGTGGTGGATGCCGGAGCCGTGATCGCCGCGATGAGACGCTGCTGTGCTGGGAGCTGACGACGGATGTCGTCACCCGCTGGAGTGTCGGCGAATGGATCGCCTCGCAGCTGGCGTTCAATGTCCTCTATAGCCTGGTCGTTCGTCCACCCGGCCCTGATCTTCTGTTTCAGGCCCCTCTGGAGTGATTGTGTCAAGTTCCGCAGCCGGCGCCTCACATTTATGTGCTCTATTGACCCCTGCGGCAGGTTCTCGAGATTTTTCTTCAGCTGTGCCACCTCGAGATTGGTGCAGACGGATAAGGATTGCGCCCTGGTTAGTCCCAACGGCCGCCGCTGGCTGATCGAATGACCAATGCTGTAGGACTGCTTCATCAAAGCCTGCTGTGGCCTGAGACCACGGATGATGGCCATTGGATCTGCAGAGATCTCACGTCCCAGGTAGTGTCTCTGGAAGGGGTCCGAGTTGGCATGACCGAGCATCAAGTTTCGCAGCGCATCGCTGACCTCATCTACATTGCATTGTTAGTGAAACCAAAGGCCCGGCGACATATTCGGGCGGTACTAACTGCTCTGATTAAATTCGTTCCCCGCGTTATACCGGAGATTGTACGGGATCGTGCCTATTTCGAGGCCCATGATCTCTCCGATCTGTTTGGTCCAGGCCGCTATCATGGCGTAAGTGATGGGCTTCTTGGGAGACAGCTCATATCCGGTCAAGGTTTTAAAAGGTCGTCGAAATATGCACACATCGTGCAGCTCAGGCTGTAAAGGTATGGGCAACTCTAGCTCGCCAGAGTAGATTTCCAGCTTGTTCAGTTGTCGAGGTGAATTGAGGTTCCGCACACGAAACGCCCGGTGACGAAAGAGGATGCCTAGTAGATATACGTGCATGCTAAGAGACAGGGACGAGTCGAAAAAAGTCTCTGGAATGTACGTGGTGGTCCTATTCAATTGAGTCAGTATCCCGGGTCAACGGGCTGTCTCAAACAGTGCACGCACGCGTCCTTGGCCCCAAGGTAGCCCTTGGTAAACTCCGTTGTGAACTTGATGATATTTCTGTGCGGACCACCGTCCGGGTCTCTTGCACGCAGTACTTGGATGTCTCCGAAGCGCAGCTTCAGGATGGACGTCGGACGAGCACCCGTCGGGGCCATCATGATGAGAAAGAGGACGGCCAGAATGCGAATTTCGCCGAGATGAAATGACTTTTTGGTCGTGCTTAAGGTTGTCAAGATCTGATCTTGGAGGTTTTGAATCGTCATGCAGCGATTCCTTCTTCTCTGGCGGCTCAGACCGTGCTCAGCCGACAACCTCATCAGACACTGCATAGCATCAGCATATTCGTACTTGAGTGAGAAGGAAGAGGCGACTCACGCCTTGCATCTTGTCGATCATTTCCGGGTCAAGCCTTCTTCCCATACTTCTTCTATATACCCCTTAGAAATGCTTCCACTTAGTTTGCAGAGAGCTCTCCTTTTTTATGCCTTTCTTCTTTCGGCCATCTTTGCCGGTCTTCTGGTTTAATAGCCAGTCAAAAAAATGATAGAGCATTGCAGCATTTACATGTTTAAAACACTCCTGCGACTTCTTCTCGAGGACTTAGGCGCAGAAACTGCAAGGCACATTGTCAGCATGGATATGGAAGAGGTGTTCGGAGAACCATACAGCGTCTACTGGTCCTGCATAGACTCCAGCTGTTTTTCGAATGCTTCTGTACGGCGGCTTGGTATAGTCGCTTCATCAAATGACGCCAGCGCGCGCTTGTAGTATTCTAGCGGGTGAATGTTTCCACCGAACAGCTGGCCTGTATGACTGCCGGTGTTGGCATTGGCAGTATTTCCGTCGCCGTCCTCAAGATCGCTGGTATCCGTGGTGGAAGCGGTAGACTCTTCATAACAAGAGTCACTCTCGCCGAAAGAAGAAGGCGACTCGGAGCTATAGTTATTATCGAGGAAAAAGTCGAAGGAAGCCATTCTGGCGAGACTGAGACAATGACAGGCTTCCCAAGAGCTGGAGAGTGTAATGACCAGATTCAAGTGAACGAGAGGGAAGAAATCATAGTCTACAGGGAGGGAAAAATGCAATAGGTACTCAAAAAGGGTATTAGGTAGCAGCGCAGAGGCTTTTTGGCAGAATCGTCTTCTCTGGTACGGGCAAGCCGAACACGGGTCACACGGTTGCACGGATGATAGGTCGCTCCGAGAAAGTCTTTTGCAGATCCTATCGACAAGCATGCCATGCATGAATTTGCACGGGCTACGAAGACGTGACATAAGGGAGCGAAACCACAGAGTTCTGATGCTAATATAATATTAAAACCACGGCAATAGAAAGGAGCTTGCTTGGCAAAAAAATAGAACCAAATCGCCATGTCGCTTCTGCCTGTCATCTTGTAGGATTGTCTGAACCATATCCCTAGCTGCTATACTATACATAATAAGATGCCACTGGTTTTCGCACAGAATGTGCGTTAGCTTGTGCTTTAAGGAACGGATAGGTGAGTCAAATATGACCAAGTAGACAAGTGCTATTGCCGTCAAAGGCTCGCAGAATATATATATCAGCCTGTCTGCTCCGGTTGATGGCTTTTATTCACAGGCACTACAATCGAGAATACAGCATGACATAGTTCCACATCGGAAAAAAGTTCTCGGCCTTGTTTCGAAGGAGGAAGAGTCTCCCGGACCAGGTAGAGCTGGGACTAAGACCAAAGGCCCTGCGAGCTGCAAAAGATGGTCCTCAGCGACATACGAATCAGTTGCTCGATCATTTGATCAGCAAGACAAAAGAGGCTGGCTATCTGCGAGAAAGTATTGCGACGAACTTGTGCTTTTCGCAAGAGCTCGACCGATTGCTTCTGGTTATAGCGTTCTACTGCGAAGGATTACTTGCGACAAATAAACGTTATAAAGAAGATATGGAGCATGTTTACACAATATTATAATGCCTATTGAAGACATGAGATTGGTTAGACTAGGTCGGTGGTCAATAAGCTCCAGACGAGAATTAACACTTTTTATTGATACGTTATCGCGTTTCTCTATATTTCTTGCACACCATAGGACAGTAAAGTACTGTACCGTGCCGTAGTCATGAGACTTTTAGGTGCTACGCTAACTCAACCTTAATTCATGACTGTAATTGCTGTCGCCTTAACTGCGGAGTTATTTGTGTTTATCTGCGCACGGCGGTGTTGATGGCTACTTAGTGGAAGCACGATATGCGAGACTGTTTGTTGACAAGACGTCGCGGCGGGAATCTTAAACCTACCACAAGCGCCCGCACGATCCTAGGTAGAGCGAAGCAGGGTTTGGTTTTGTCCATTTCATGACACGAAGAGATGTCTTGGGACCATAGGGCTCGCGTTAAATGACCTGCCGCGCTCCTTGGAAAGACAGTATCAGTCTCTAGCATTTTGACCTCGGTCAGCTTTCACTCGTTACTATGGATGGATCAGGTCATTCTGGTGGATGCTGCATTGCCAAATTTTTGGTTGAATAAAATCACTCTCTCAACTATATCTTTCAGCAGCAGAAGGCGGAGTCGCGGTCGCTCGAATACCGTTATAGAGAGCTCGAAAATAGAAATGCCGAGCTCAAACGGCAAAATCAGCAGCTTTCGGACCATTTCCGCTTGCAAGAAGACTTGATCGCGAAACAGCGCTAGGTTATTGCCATTCTTGAAGACAGCTTCAACCCCGAAAGTCGAGGTGCCACGATAAACATGGCAGCACTGTCGTAGGGATCGTCCAGTCTGTTCACCTACAGTCCAGCCACGTCTAATGTTATCGACGGCTCGCTTTCTTCGGGACGGGTCGGGGAGGCAGCTACAACGACTAAAACCATGGAAGCATTATCGTCAGGTGAAGCATCAGAGGACCAGCCCAGGGAGGACGGGACTGTCAGCTAAGGAACGCTTAGGCTAAGACCACTACATTCAGCAACCAGCGTTAGCAAATATTAACCCAATGTATACTCTCGCTTACAGCGCCTGGCCTCATACCACAGATCGTATCATCTCCTTTAATGCACGAGTGAAACGAGTGCCATGTAGTGATGCATGTGCCAAAATGAGATACCAACGGACTTCATACAAAAGACTCATACAAAAGACTCATACAAAAGACATATCCGGCATTTCATAACCGTACAAGTAATTTAGATCTAAGACGATAGAAACTTTAGAATATCTAGCTTGTTATAGGCATTATTGACGAGTTATGATCACAAGTGTAGGATTTCGGAAACGAATAAAGGCATGCGCTATTCGTGGAGAATGGTTAACTTGGTCCCACGTGATGAGCATCATGGACATATCTTGCGCTTCTTTGTAGCCAGCTCTTCGTCCTCTCCTGCATGCAGCAAGCTCGCCTAGGCCCTTAGAGACATGAGTTCCTGCTCACGTTCTTGCGCCTCCACCCAGGCAAAGCCAAGCAAAGAGTTCTGAGCCTCTATTGTGCCATCTCGCTCTTGGACGAGATGCACCTTCTCGCATAAGGCGTCCTTGCACTGCTCCAGCTCGAGCTGCAGTCTATCTCTTTCGAACGTCACATCAGCAAGCTGATCTTCACGTCGGCACAGCAGGCCCTCTAGCTCCTCGGCGCTCGAATCAAGCTATCTCATGCACAGTTAGAAATACGACACAGATCGTCAGTATAAATAACTATCGCCTTCGCGTGCTAAAGGAGAGTCAATATTCTCCATGATGATTGCATATTAAGCCTACCGGACGAAAGCCACACCAAATTAGATTCTTATATCATAGTGCGACCTAGGTAATTAAAGACCTCTACCTCCGTAAGCTATAGTTCTGATGTCTATTAATACATTTCTTGTCGGCTCTCGACTGTGTTCAGTACTGACAGGCTGCGTACGGCTTGGTGTTTTTGTCCCTAGCAGTGAGGTCCATTGTTCACTTTAAGGACGGTAATAGCCAAGTTCCAAGCTTCAAGCTTCAAATGCTACCTGATACTTGCGCAAACACTTTGCCAGTTTGGATTCAGAAAATGACCTTTCGTTAACCTCTAAAATAGTTAGGATAAAAAGATCACGCAACCACTGCTGCTATTAGATGGCAAATGGGTGGAATCTAATCCTTTTTGTAGATGAATCCGATTAATATTGCTCCAGTCCATAATGCCATTCAACATAATCATTGGATGAGGCGCCTGACGGATGTCTCTTTTCGCGCTGAAGTACTTAACACTTAAGGGATGACATTTTAGGAGATAGTGTTTCTGTAAGTTCAAAGACATGAATATTAGATAAGATACGTTTGTTCTACCTATGGATACGGAGATATTTATTCTACCTGTTTGAGGGTCACAACGAGACTCGATGAACTTCCGCAACGTGCACGCGGAAATGGTCGATGCTGCTTAGCTTCAAGCCGCTGCAATCTCAGTACCTCCTATTATAATTACGATTTCAAAGGAACATCTGGAGAGTTTTCCATTGCTTCTACTTTAACCCTCTTCTATTCACCTTATAGTATCTCATTATTCTCCTGTTTAAGTGCGAGGCATGCATTTTCCTGGTGGGCAAAGCGCGCCAGAACTCACCCAATAAGTTAGAGATGATTTGCAGCTTTATCCAAACCTGCGGTAAGTTTCTATTTACAACTAGGAAGATCATACGTTATTATTTAGACAGAGACCTTATAGAAGTGGGCAGAACTATTTTGAGATTCTATGACTAGGGTTTTCCACATGTCACTCAACAACGAGGTGTCAAGACGTGTTAAAGGCTAAAGCAGAAACCCATTTTACGGCCTATTGCGAAGTGTAGGTCCACGAAATGGGCACTAGTCGTGTTTTCACTTTCGCCTGACTCTTTTGGGCACGGAAAGAAGCATACTGAGAGCAGACGCCTTACCGCCACTTCAATAATCACTAAGAAAAGTTGGCGTTGTGCGATTGGTAATGGGCCCAGTATGATACGCACCTCCCGTATGAAGCGTCACAATGAAGCGCACTCTGTGAGATTGTCACCCCAAAATACTTGTGTGTTTTCAGGAGTCTTTTACAAATCAATGTACTGGATATGCATTTAGACGAAAACATAGGACGCTGCAAGAGGATTTTTCTTCGGCTTTTAGTAGGAACGTCTAGAAGGAGACCGGAGGGAGGGTAGGAAAAAAGACTAAACAACGATCCTCAAGATGGCAAGAGTTTGAAGACAGTGATGATATGATATCTATGGCTTTGAGTTCAGACTAAGTCTTACAGTACACCCGGTACTGTAGTATACACACGAACGTCACAAAAGGTTAAACTAGAGAAACTTCTACATTATAGTTGCTGATGAGATTGTTTACGATATCAGCGCAGGCTTTTTGCTCGTTACCCTTGTCCACGACGAATTTTTTCTATCTTTTCAACACGCACATAGGCTCCTTCAAATCCACTAAAACGAACACTGCCTTGTTTTAAAGGCTTGCATAGACGCTCGGCGCGCTTTTGCTGAGGTTAGTCTTGTAATGGTGATTGAAAGTGCTAGGCACACCTCCATTCGCAAAGAAACCCATGGATTGCACACGATTTGGTATGCGCCGTGTTATAGACATTGCGGGTGTTTTCTTTTCATGTGTCTAACTAACCTATCCCTACGAATATTATCAAATGAAGCATCGCAAATTCTACAATGGATCTTAGAAACATCTAAACCTTCCATTGCGGCGCGCAGGCGATGGTCAGCCACCATGTGTCGTTGCCAGTCTCGTTTGTCAGTGTGACCCCGTGTACACTCTAAACACTTGTAAGGCTTTTCCTTCTTGTTCCGATATGCCCTAATCAAAGTTATTATACACTGAAGCCTGTAGCCTGGGTCAATACTCACGCCAGCTCTTCCGGCTTCTTTCTCTTTCGTCGCGTTCTATCCGGCTCCTTCTGGTGTAGCATTTGACTGTTTCCTTGGTTCGAGATTGGTGAGTGGCCATCCTCATAACTAGACTCGGGACTCCCTGATGATTCGCTGCCCAACAGAGTAGCGGAAGTGACAGAGAAAACGGAATGCTCTCGAAGATTTTGGAGAGCATTCGATTGACTCCCAGGTACCAATTGAGTTGGAGGTGTCAAAGTAAGCAAAGCATATTCATATCCTTGCGTGCAGACTCCATGGGATGTTTGGTATGGGAGCTTTTCCACTGGTCCGCCTTTCAAGATTTCATCTGAACGACTTGCTTGGTGTAGCGAAGAGTCACAGACTAGCTCTTTAGGGTCGATGGTTGCTTCCTCAGGAGGTATAACGATCCTCTTGTCTGGGTCCGACCAAACCATCGTGGCTGTATGTAAATAAGTTTAGCGCAATGGGGCGCAGTATAGCAGATATTGTTTGAGCTGTGGCTCGGGCGATTTTGCATGGACACCTTTTTACGACCTATCCGGGTCCGGCAATTTAAAGTCCCCTACACTGGTGAGCTTGACACAGAGCACATTCGAGCGTGGTGGCGCACCATCTTGGAAAACAACTGGGACGATCCAGGCAGCATCTGGCAGATATCAAGTTATCCATGGCGCCGAAGTGTTCACATTGACACAGGTCGTCTGTTGCCGATCGGCAACAACTCGCATCAGACAGCTGAAACCCTGACACGCAAACCCGATAATGCTGTTGCTACCTGTAGCGATGTTAGCACAGTAATCAAGTGCCAGTTGGAGCTCATACCAGTGCCTCCGAACCTTCCTCCAACAAAGGAGAAACAAGTGACAGTCCGACATAGGAAAGGTGAATGAGAAGAGATGACCCCTAGTAGTGAATGCAGTGGCAGAAGCATTCACTACCAAGGGCCATATGATGCAGGTTAGTAGGTTTGGATTGTATATTGAAGAGAAAGATGGTGTTTGCGTAGATGAAGATTCTGTCCTACACTTATAGGCCTAGGTACTTTGGGTGGTACACTGATGCATCACATTTCCGGGAGATGTGTGACCAATGGTATCCTGCCTTTTTGGTGAGGCGTCCATGAAGTACGTATGCATCAACTCTCCTCTGATTGGCGCATCTGGAGGCCGGTGCATAAGAAGTCATGCAGCCGTTCTGTATGCTACGAGGCAGACTGGGAATTCGCGATTCGAGAGAGGCGGATCGAAATCATTCAAATCATTCAAATCATTCATTCAAATATCTGGAGAGTTGGTGCCCGTAGGAGGCCCTGCCGAGCCAACACACGATGGCGGAGATAGTGGTGGGACGCGAAGTGGGACGCGAAGTGGGACGCGACGTGGAACCGACAACACCAACACGCGCGTCGTCGCCGAAACGACCAAGTCGCGCCCCAAAACCGACAATGAAGGTCCGCGAGACCCTACACTCCTTCGAAAATGCAAGCACGACTTCGAGAAAGGCCACGAACAATGCTACCCGACCCATTGCGCCCAAGGCAACACGCGCGCCTGGCGTCGGAGAGGTGGCCGACAGCGCCTCTGAGACCGGACAAGCTATGTTCCAAAAGCTCCTCGAGGCAATGGGCTACACGCAAAGGGAGCTAGTATCATTGAAAATGGTGCTTCGAGAGCAACAAAATGAGACAAATAACATGAGCCGAGCCTTCCATGATGCGATCAAGAAGCAGCAAGACGCAATCCAGGAACAGAGCCGTACGATGCAGGGACTCCAGAACGTCGTTGCAGCACAGCAAACCACGATCCGAGAGCTGCGAGAGACGGTCAATGAACAGCACAAGACGATCGAGGACCTGCAGCGCCAATCACGCGAATTCCTTCCGCAATTTGAACGCGCCCTTCTGGAGACTAAATCCGAGTGGTCTGAAGAATTAAAACAGGCTCTGAGAAGACTCGATACCGTCTCACCCCGCCCAGCTCCGGCCACGTCGGGGCAGTCGAGCCCAAAGGCATCATACGCGGAAATCGCTCGCACCCCACCAGGGAGCCAGCCCAGTAACGTACACACGCTCTCGTCGTCGAACAACACCCCGTCAGTTCTTGCTGGGGCGCCATTCTGCACGATCGACACGTCCGGGGTTGCGAGAGAGGACAAAGACAAGGCCCAGGTGGCAGAAATCAGGAAGACTATCGAGAGAGAGCTCCGAGCAATGGAAAACAAAGAGCAATGGCGCTGTGCGGCGGTGACCAAGGAGGCTCGGAACCCAAACCGAGTCAAAGTGATTTGTAGAAGTGAGGAGGAAGCACGATTCGTCAAGGAAGCGATACAGAAAACCACGACTCCGGGACTGAAAGTGCTGAGGGACAAGCTATACCCGATAAAGGTGGACAACGCCAACCGGACAGCTGTGATCGACAATGCAGGCAACGTCCTTCCCGGCGCGGCAGAAGCTCTGGGCACCGAAAATGAGGTCAGCATCGCCAGAGTGGCGTGGCTCAGCAAGAAGGACTCCGGGAAGGACTATGGGTCGATGGTGGTGTACCTGACCAAGGCCTGCGACGCCAAACGCCTCCTGGACGAAAACTACTTCCACCTTAACGGAGAATCTGGATACACTAACCCGTTCACACCACGGAACGGTCCGATACAGTGCTACAACTGCTGGGAAATGGGCCACAAGGCCTTCTCGTGTATGCGAACGCAGACGTGTGGCAGATGCGCCCAGCAGGGACACCATCACAGCAGCTGTCACTCGGTGCCGACATGCAAGCTCTGTGAGGGGCCGCACGAAGCATTCAGCGGAAACTGTCCGGTGCGCCGCCCGCATACTGATGCATAGCACCTTTCAGATCCTGCAACTCAACGTAGGCAAGAGAAGAGAGGTTCAACAGAGCCTACTAAACGACGAGACACTTAGGGGATATGGAGTGCTAGCGATCTCAGAACCATATGCGAGGATGAGGGATGACACGGTGGTGACGGTCCCGGCGTGGCACAGCAACTGGACGAAACTAACGCCGACGATGACAAGGGACGCGGCGTGGCCGATCCGAAGCATGTTGTGGATACGGAGCGACATAGAGGCGGTGCAGATACCGGTGGCGTCCGCAGACCTCACCGCGGCACGACTCCGGCTCCCGGACCGAGAAGTGCTGATGGTGTCAGTCTACGTCCAGGGGGGCAGTGAGGAGGCACTGGAGAGAGAAATGAAGGAATTGGGGGAAGCGATCAAGAGGTTCCGCGACGGAGGTGGGATCAGGACGGATGTGATCCTCGCCGGAGACTTCAACCGCCACGACCAACTCTGGGGAGGAGATGAGGTCTCGACAGCGAGGCAGGGGGAAGGGGATGCCGTCATTGAGCTGATGGAGGAACACTCCCTATGCAGCCTCCTCCCCCGAGGCACGAAGACATGGCAGGCAGGAAACCTGGAGAGCACTATCGACCTGGTTTTGACATCATCAGAACTGGCGGATCAGCTCATCAAATGCCAAACCCACGCGTGCGATCACGGATCGGACCACATGGCCATCGAGACAAAGTTTGACATTTCAGTGGGTGATCGGCCGACCGAAACGAGACTCCTCTTCAAGAACGCCCCGTGGAAACAACTCAACGCCAGGGTGGCAGAGAAACTTGAACGGCGCCCATGGGGTGGAGGTGTTCAAGAGCAAACGGATAGGCTCATGGGAGCAGTGACGGAAGCTATCGACGCCCTAGTTCCCAAGGCTAAGCCATCGCCGTACGCGAAACGCTGGTGGACGACAGACCTCTCGCGTCTCCGGCGGGTGTACACGCACTGGAGGAATCAGGCTAGATCGAGAAGGAGGGCGGGGCAGCGATCACCAGAACTGGAGCGGCGGGCCAAGGTAGCGGCCAAAGAATACCACGACGCGATTCGCAAGCAAAAGAGCACCCATTGGAACGACTTCCTCGCCGACGACACGAACATCTGGCAGGCCGCAAAGTACCTGCAACCGGACAGCAACACGATTAGTGGCAGAGTACCACCGCTCACCAGGGGAGACGGATCGGTTACGGAGGACAACGCAGCCCAAGCCGAAGAGCTACTGGCGACCTTCTTCCCACCCCTACCATCAACGATTGGAGAGGAAGGTCCACGAACCCAGCGGCGCCCCGTGCACATGCCGGAACTTATGATGGAGGAAGTGGAACGTAAAGTTCTTGAAGCCAAACCGTGGAAGGCGGCGGGCGAGGATGGCCTCCCGGCAATGGTATGGAGACAGCTCTGGCCGACGGTCAAGGACAGGGTGCTGCACCTATTTAAGGCATCACTGGAAGGAGGCACACTGCCGTCACAATGGAGAAACGCCAAAATAGTGCCGCTCAAGAAACCCGGGAAAGGGGACTATACGGTCGCCAAGTCTTGGAGACCGATATCGCTCCTCTCCACGCTGGGGAAGATACTCGAAGCGGTGATAGCAGAGCGGATATCGCACGCGGTAGAAACATGGGGACTGCTACCAACGAACCATTTTGGAGCCAGGAAACGACGCTCGGCCGAACAGGCGCTCATACTACTACAGGAACACATCTACAAGGCCTGGCGTAACAGAGACGTCCTCAGCCTGATAAGCTTCGATGTCAAAGGGGCGTACAACGGGGTCTTTAAGGACAGGCTCCTCCAGAGACTTGGTGCACGGGGCATCCCGGAGACCCTGGTCAAGTGGATTGACGCTTTCTGCTCTGAACGCACAGCGACCGTTGTCGTAAACGGGCAAGCCTCGGAAAAACGGGCACTACCGCAGGCGGGGCTGCCCCAGGGGTCGCCGCTCTCGCCAGTGCTGTTCCTGTTCTTCAACGCGGACCTCGTACAGGACAGAATCTATGCGGGAGGCGGAGCGATAGCCTTCGTCGATGACTACACAGCCTGGGTCACAGGGCCTACGGCAGACACGAACCGTGCAGGCATCCAAGCTATCATCGACAGAGCCTTAGACTGGGAGCGACGGAGCGGGGCCACTTTCGAAGGAGAGAAAACAGCCATCGTACACTTCACGAGGTGCCCACAGAGATCCAGCAACGCCCCATACACGATCAAAGGGGAGTCAATCAAACCACAGGAGAGCGCCAAGATACTGGGCGTCATTTTAGACAGAGAACTGCGATACAAGCAGCATGTGGCGAGAGCGGCCAGTCGGGGTCTGAACGCAGCGCTCGCCCTCAAACGGCTGAAGATGATGTCCCCGAAGACAGCTAGGCAGCTGTTCATCGCAACAGTGGCACCAGTAGTGGACTACGCGTCCAATGTCTGGATGCACGCGCGCAGAACGAATGCACTGGCGGTGCTGAATAGAGTGCAGAAGATAGGGGCCCAAGCTGTCACCGGGGCCTTCCGCACAGTGGCAACCGCGGTAGCGGAAGCTGAAGCAGGCATCCGAACAGTCGCAGAACGACAGGCAGAAAGGGCAACGAAGCTGTGGGTTTACATTCACACACTACCGCCAACACACCCCCTGGCAACCCTACAGCCCTCGAGGTGCCGGCGTTACGTATCTCCACCCGAAAAGATAGCCGCAGCACAGCTGGAGGGGTCGACTAACCAGATGGAAACGATCAAGCCATATGCAATACCACCATGGACAAAACGGCTGCGGGTAGCATACGAGCCCGACAGGGAAAAGGCAGCCGCCATGGCCAGCAACACGGAAGGTCTTTTGATCGTAACAAGCTCATCGGCCCAAAACGACTTAGTCGGACTGGGGGCCTGCACGCGGCTCAGCACAGCTAATGCCGTAACCACGAGATCATCCACCCTCGGCACAAAGGACGAACAAAATCCATATACAGCCGAACTAGTGGCCATGGCAATGGCGCTGGGGGAATTGCCAGATGAGATCTGGTTTCGGCGGATCGTCGTCATCTCCAGAAATCTAGGGGCCCTCACCGCAACATCGAAACCCAGACAACAGTCAGGCCAGGAAATCATCCGACAGATATACAACGCTGCCAACTACCTGAGAGGGAGAGGCAATTCAGTTGAACTGCTGTGGGCTCCGGCAGATGACAGGTTCCCGCTAGGACAGAAGGCGAAAACATTAGCCCAAGGATCGACCACAGGACAGACACCTAGTACACAATCCTGGACAGCCAAATCGACAGCAACCAGACTGGCCATATCTAGACAGCGCCAAAACAGGCAACTGCCAGAGGGAGTAGGTCATTACACAAAGTTCATAGACACCGCGCTTCCGGGTCGACACACGCTCAAGCTCTATAACGGACTCAAGCGGGAGGAGGCCAACATACTGGCACAGCTCCGGACAGGAATGACAAGGCTCAATACGTATCTACACAAGATCAAGGCCGCCGAATCGGATAGATGCGACTGCGGAGAGTCAGAAGAGACAGTCCGACACTTCCTATTCCGCTGCACAAGGTGGACATCGCAGAGAATTGGCCTAGTGCAGGGTTCCGAGGCAGACAGGGAGAACCTCTCGTTCTGGCTGGGAGGGAAAGCGCCATTAGATACTGAACCGTGGACACCAAACATGAAAGCCGTCCATGCCACGATCAAATTCGCGAAAGCAACGGGAAGACTCACCACAGATCACGAAACAAGCAACTAGGAGACCGCGGCATGTCTCAGCCAACTAACCCCCTACGTAGCCGGGCCGCCGCTTCAGCCGCTGTAGATAGGACGCTGAACACTTGAAGAATGCAGCCTTCAATTTTGGCCTGCTTGCTAGGACTTTGCGCGACATGCCAGCAGCATCATTATCTAGGAGATACAAGATCGGGAATGGTTGACGCACCGTTTAGGTTCTGGACGAAGCGAGTAGCTGAGATGCATGTACGTTACATAAATTAGTTGTGCCCTATAGGTCGAGTCCTCCGGGCGTAATAAATATCTATCTATAGAAGCTTCGAGACTGGAGGAAGGCAAGTCTAGAGGGCGAAGGGTGAGAGCAGATCGATTCAAATCATTCAAATGCCGTGCGTGTCTAACCTCCAATGGCTTAGGGAAAAAAACCGTCTGCAGTACTCTGAAGCGCTTTAAGGATGTCCCGAGGTAACAGAGAGCAGATAGGCTAAAGAATAGCGTCTTAACTCAAAAATTACTTCTTTAAAAATGTCCTCGAATTAGGTGAGGGTAGTTATAATCGCCAAATCCCCCTCTTCGATGAAGCGTCTCCAAACTACGATCTGATTTCATTTAATCTGGCAGAGAAAGAAAAACGAGTAATTAAATTCCATATTCTAGACTAGACAGGTAGTTGAAGCGGTGGCATGCCTAGCTATGTTGCGCAACAGCTAAGCTGGTTGACGTCCTTCGCGAACCCCAAAGCTGCTAATTTCCAGGCTTCATTCCATGTCAAATATGGATGGTACATCCCCGCCAGTTCCTGGGCCCTGATCTTATGTTGAACACAAAGAGATGCTTCCATGACGAGCTCCCCGCCTTCCTCTGCCAAGATACGCGCTCCAATAATGGTGTCGTCCTGCTTATTCCGAATTAAAGCCACGAAGCCACGTGTTTCCTGTTGCACGATAGCCCGCGGAAGGAGGGAGAGGGGGACAATGGAAGCATCGGCCTCGATGCCTTTGGCTCGGGCTTCATGGACATCGAGGCCGACTCCAGCGACAGCTGGAGATGAAAAAACAACCCAAGGAACGACTGAATAATCAATCGGCGTCTCCTTTTGGCCATTAAACGAGGCCAAGGCATTGAGCGCTGCGAGTTTGCCTTCCGCTGCTGCCGTGTACACATATTGCGGCGAGCCGGCAACACAGTCTCCTGCGGCGTACACTCCGGAAATGGAAGTCTGTAGGGTTTCTGAAACAACGAATCCGCCATGCGGCGAATCAGACAGCCGGAGTGGCACATCAGACACATTTTCCGTTTTGGCAGACCGGCCAGTGGCAATGAAGATCTTCGATGCTTTGAAGGTCTGGAGCTTTCCGCTGGGCGGTTTCGCCGTTACCATGACCTCGCCATCATCAAGAGTCGCAGATAAAATGTCGAGGCCAAGCACCACTTCTATCCCTTCCTCTTGCAAATAGCCAGTTAAAGCCAACCCTATATCTTCACCCGCGCCGGAGAGCACGTGCGATGATCGTTGCAGAATTGTCACCCGAGAGCCCAGTCGCGCAAACATCTGGGCTGCTTCCACCGCAACGTAACCTCCACCGAGCACAATAAGGGACTTGGGTAGGATCGGTTCAAAATAAGCAGTTTCGTTTGTGAGAAACGGAACTTCCTCCAAACCCGGCAGCAACTGCTTCGGAAGACTGGTGTGTACGCCTGTGGCTAGGATCACTCGGTCCGCTAGTAGTTCTCGGTAAGGCGTTTCCTTGGTTGGGTCGCAATCGACAGCAACGGAGAAAAAGTCGCCTTTAATGAGAATTCTTCCCAGTCCTTGGACATACTCAATGTTGTCAAACCCGGCAATAACATTGGCATACTTCTTCTCACGGAGATCTTCCACGAGCTGGCGATTCTGTGTCGTTAACGCAGCGAAATCGGTGACTCTCTCTGAGATGTTCGAAAACCCATGGTATGGCGGACTGGAATTGTAAGGGCTGCTTATATGAGCCGCTTGGATGAGGAATTTCGAAGGAACTGGTCAAGATAATCCACGTCAGTGATATAGACAGAGGTTCGTATTTATCACTAAGCTTTACTAACCGCAGCCAACGTTCACACATGTGCCGCCCATAGGTAAGCCCTCGTTCACAATTTTAACAGACGCTGCGAATGGTGCGGCAGCAGTCGCGGCTGCGAATGCGGCAGAACCCCCTCCTGCACTATGTTAGATGGCCGAGTACATATGATTCCGGAGGATTCTGCAGACGAACCGATGATGACTATCCGGCAACGCTGATCATGATCTCCGAGGTTACAGCATTGCGAGCCACTCATTTCAGCGGTAGCAAATTCAGCAGTGGCCATTGTTGTGATGAAAGATTGCCAACAAATTGGAGTTACGTGGTAGGTATCCAAGTATATACGAGGAAACTGCACACGATGAGAAATAGGTAATGGGAAATAGGGTGAGCTATTGCAAGGTCTTTAAAAGACATCGGTTTCTATAAGCAGACCCAAACTTTTGGGTCTAAATATAATGCATGCGTGGTAACAGGCCCACACACGGCGCCTCCGCCTATTTGTCAATTCTATCACACGTTTTCTTGCTTGGGGGCGCGGTGTTTAAGAAGTGACTGAATCGATTCGTGAGTGATGGAAGCGGGTGTGAATGGATGAGGAGGCCGCTGTATTATACTTGGAGATTCTGAGACAGGTCAAATACTGGGTCCATGAAGTCTTTTACTACCTAAGGTACGTACTTTACCTTACCTTACGTGGCGGTTGACAGTCATCTACACGAGTGTAAAGCGCGAAAATTGCGTTTCCGCACTTCCGCGGCCTCCCTGCTCGCCCCTTTTTACGACGTCATATGGACAGATACTGGCACAAGTAGCGGGGATCTTACCTAACGACAACTCGGAAAAGTCTAGCCGGGGGAATCAAGTTTCTCTTAACAGGGATAAGATTTATTTAGAATCGGAAACATGGAGGCTCGGTGTGGTTTGAGCCCAGGGATTCTGCGGACAGGAATAGTATACTCTAACGAATATGCGGTGGAATATGTATGATCTGGGAATACACGTGAGAACGCGGTACGAGGGTTTGAAGGGATTCCAAAGGGTGGGTGTAGCTATATTTTTGGGGGAGTGGGTCGGTAAATAGGTGTTTGTGGCAGTTGTGACAGTCCGCGGTAATAAGGGATAATAATACATAAGAAGTACGGATACGGCAGTACACATCTGCTTGCTTCTGTCAGCCCGTTGGCTCTTCTTCCTCCCTCCCGTACATACCTACTTAGCTAGGTTCAAGCTCCCTCTAACTGGTCATTATTACACCCCTGATCCAGGCGTGACTGTGGCAGGGAAAGTTTCCCACGTGACAAGCTGTCTCCTGTTCCATTAATTCTCCTTAGTCCGCCGGCGCCGGTCCTGTCCAGCAGACCCTCTTAGTTGACAAAAGGGTTGTATGTTGTTGCCGCTTGTCCGCTGCGCCGCGCCTGTTAAAAACGATACCCAATACTATACAGAACTATAACTAGTGCTCATGGACGTGGAAGTTTATTGTATAGGTACTAGATGACGAGGCTGTCGATAGGCTCGACTACTGAGAATAAGTCGCAAATATGTTAGATGATGCAGAGAAGTCCACATATTCAAGCGCTTGCCTGCTCTTTGGCGAAAAACTTAGGCTTTCTTAGAGTGGACTAATGATATAAGCAGCTACTTCGCCAACTCGAACCAAAGCACCAAGGGTCTTCTACGAATTGGGCGAGGTGCGGGGTAAGCGGGCAGTGGCGGGCAAGCACTAATATCTCCGACGTTGGGCCGGTCCGGAGAGCCGAGCTGTCGAGGCATACCGCCAGCCCGTTCCAGGACGAGCCATGTTCTTGATTAACGCTTCCTTGCTACCCTTTCTTAATAGGGGCGGCGATATAGCAAAGCAGATGGTTTAATTCTAATGGCAAATCTTCTATGCGATTGGCAATATATTTTGCTCACGTTATCTTGTAATGTCCCCCGACACGGTTATGTTTATACGCTACGGAGCAAATCCCGGAGAGGGGTCAGAATGACGTCGGACGCCAGGTCGGCATCTGCTTTACAAATCGAGCATGGATATATAGATGTGTTGGTGGATGATGCAGGTTAGAGTCGGATGAAAAGACGATGATCATATGGGTTACCTGTAAGTCACTAGTATTGGAAAAGGATAAGTGGAATAGTGGCCGAGCAAAAGTGAAATAGGCCCTGCCGTGTCCTTCGTGCAAGAGGAAATCAAGATAGGGTAGTCGATGAGATAGTATGTCTATCCTGGCAGATTAGTTGGTCTCTGTCTTGTCAAGCGCGATATTGAATGGTAAGAGCTTGAAGTATTGGGATAGCTCTACCCCGGCGTGGGACATGAAAGAAAACGTGCCCGTTAGGGTTCCAGGAGAAATACCCCTATGAGTCAGAAAGGCCAACCATATTCACGCGAAAGCCTCTTCATTTCCTACGCAGTAAAGAGCTGGAAGAAGGATATAGGACGCCCTGTCGTGACTATGTACTTTCTCGATCGAGGCACCGTTATGTTGTAGCAGGGTGGCATGTCTGTGATATGTTAAGGTGACGTTGCACTAACGGGGCGTTCCCGAAACTTTTCCGAGGGATGACGCGATCTTCCCTGTTCGGACTGGGTAATGTCGGGATTTAGGCCTTCTGCCTCGGCCGCCACCCTACGCGTCACCAGCCAGCATGGTTAGGTGCGCAATCCTGCCCTCTTTCTGGCCTTAGAGCCTACTTAAAGGCCTACGGCGCAGCAATAGTCAACAAACTACAGAATCTCAGATCAAGTATTTTGAGCTTATCAAGCATGGTCGCAAGCAACAATAGCATGGCAAACTTCAATCCTGTCCCGCCTGGGCGTCTTGTAACCCATTTCACTAATAGGTACGCAGCTACCGAGGGTAAAAGCGGTAAATTTTCTCTCTAGACCGCGCGTCTTGACTACAGGCTGACGCGGGACAGAGACAGGGAGCTTCAAAGTGCTGGATGGTCGGAGCTGTGGGACATGGGTCAGAGCGATCTTTGGGATCGCGGGATCCCGTCGCCGGCATTGGTTGATTTTGTTGAGTCGCGGCCCCGGCTCCTTCCCCGACGGGAGGGTGGGCGTCGCCTAAGAGCGCTGGTGCCAGTATGTTTCTCCCTCTCGGCAAGGTCACGTTTCTTTAAAAGTCGAATTTTTCTTTTTTGTTCAGTCAAGGCGTTTCCAAAAATGGATAGAATAGTTGAAGGGGGGAACCCGAAGCGGGGTCCTATTACGCGTAAATTCCTGCTGACGAGCATTACAAGGGCTGCGGGAAAGGTTACGACCCCGTCATGCTCGCCCTTCATGGCTTCAACGCCTACGGCCTTGAAGTCTCCCAAACGGCTATCGACACCGCCAACGCCTACGCGACCACCGAGCTCGCCCACCCGACCGTGTTCAATTTCGCCGAGACGGACAATCGGCACGTTGACCAACCGGGAACCGTCAAGTTTGTCCGCGGCGACCTTTTCCAGCGGGACTGGGAGGTAGGCTGCGTTGCGGAAGACGGCACGCAGGGATTCGACCTGATTTACGACTACACCGTGAGTTTATCGTAGCCGTATTATTCATTACCATATCATCCAGCTAGACAGCTAGAGCGAGGGGTGCTGACTTTTGGCCTCGAAATAGTTCCTATGCGCTCTCCTGCCCGAGATGCGAAAAGACTGGGCTCGGAGGATTCGAGAGCTTCTCACCCCATCCGGCGTTCTCGTCTGCCTAGAGTTCCCCTTGTACAAAGACTTGAAGTCTGTCGGGCCGCCTTGGGGAGTTAAGGGTGTCTATTGGAACCTTCTAGGCGAAGGCGGCGATGGGCTGATACAAGAACTGGCAGGGGCGTCAGACACTGGGCATGGACCGTTTGAGAGGGTGGCCTACATCAAGCCTCCTCGCTCGTACAAGGCTGGTCAAGGGACAGACATGCTTAGCGTCTGGGCCCTGAAGAAGTGAAGGAAGGTCAGGCGGCGCTTTGGGTTTGGCACATGTGCTCTTGGTGCAACATAGGGGGAGCTAAATTTAACTGCTTGGATCGACGCGTGAGGTTCACAACGTTGTTATGATTATTGGTAGCGACAATTCTTCTGCAGATTCTAATCCTTCCGTCCGCTGGATACTCGTTGACCAGAATAGACAGGTTGGCATTGACCACAATGGTAGTGCTGAAATCGAGCATCTTAGACAGGACTGCAAAAGACAGCCTCCACCATCCACATTCGGGGCTGGTCCGCTGCAGAGGCCGGCCAAGTCGTGCCAGATCGACGATGAAATTGAAAGTCGCATTATAGGGTCTCTACCGACGCTAATGAGGAAGTTGTATATAGTTGCTACTTCTTGCTCTAGAATAGCAGAATCTAGGACCCGTGAATGGGTGATGAGCTGGACAGAAAGTTAACCTGGGTCCGTCAACGAAAGACGAAAGGTGGGATTTGAGAGGGTTTTAGATCTTCCTTGATAGCGCCTTACGATATACAAGGAAGAAGGACGAGGCGGGTGACGCTATGTAGGAGGACTTACAGTTGTATAGAGCCGTAGTCGAAGAAGGATAAAAAGAGGATCAAGTTTATAGAGCCTAGCGTAAAGGCTATCCATGTAAAAGGAATATCAAAGTTAAGTAGTCTCGTGGAGAGCCGATTACGAGGGTGGAACAGTTTGCGTGGTGGCGGAAGGGGGTATCTCTCATAGAGTAACACTATCTTATAAGACGTTCGAGTCGTACCCGTGCCACGCTCCATTTATCTCGGACTCGCAAGCGATACCGGCCATAAGGTGGTGCTGCACACAAAAGTAACTGGTGATCACCAAAATAACCACTTTTACGACCAAACGACCTAAAACCTCACCAACTATCGCCTAATTTACTCCGAATCGATTACTTCTATTCGTCCCAACTTCCCCCGAGACCCTCCATTTACGGGTCTCTTTTGCGGCTTCTGCAAAAACCCGTTTATGAGCATTATAGGTCCGGGTTTCGGCTACCTTGGCTATCTTCCTCGCCTTAGCTACTTGTTTCTGCAAGCAGCTCAGCCGGCGATCGAGGGTGTAGCCTGTCCAGAACACCCGCTTCTTGCCCCGCTCGTCCACGGCCCAGTCCCCGTTGACGCCGTGCATGATTGCGATAGGCATCGCGATGCTCACTACTAGCGCCTCATATAGCCGGGCTGCTATAGGGCAATTACGTGCTTAGTTCATGTTTGCCCAAATCCACAATGTCAAGTAATATATCAATTAAAAAAAATGAACCAAATTAATAATCAGGACCCAGGTAATAAAACATAGAGGACATGGGATTCTGCTAGATAGGTGCAGGCTATACGACTATCTAGTTACAAGATTAGCAAGACGATAAATGAATCAGGTTATTATCTTGAGCTCGTGTTACTCTAAACCTTCCCCGACAACTTCCCTCTAGCAACAAAGGGTAGAAAGACACACTGGCAAACCACGCCCTCTATAGCACGTATCCCAGTCGGCTATACCGTTCTTTCTATTGGAGAAGACGGTTCTTTGCCGCGACGGAAGTCTAAATCAGAGCAGCTCCAATCATGACTCCTACTATACCCTTGAGACCATTCTGAAGAGTGCTGGCAGCGGCGGCAGAGGTGTGCATCGCAGAGGCGGAGGCCGAAGAGGAGCTTGCAAAGGTGCTGGTGATGTTGGAACCCAGCTTTCCAATTGTCACCTGGCCTCCACATGGCGCCGAAGGCATGGCGGTACAGTTGTTCATCCACTGCCCAAGGTGGCCAACGCCCCTTCCAGGGGTCATGACCGCCGTAGGCTTGAATGCGGGAAGCAGCGATGTGCTGTTTACCATGTAGATCTGCGCCTTCATGTGGCTTCCTATGTAGGCAGCATGGTTGCTATGACCGGCTGCCAGCCGCGCCATGAGAAAAGCAATCTCGGGGCATTGAACATAGTCTGCCAAGCCGATGAAGGTACCACAGAGGGTCGACTCGATATGTTGCGCGTACATCAAGTGGGCCTTCGCATCTTCGGGGGTAGGCAGGTGATAGGTACACGTCGGCATCTGACTTTGCCCCGGAGCTTTGGAGGAGAGCTGCTCTAGCGCGTCCACGCCGAGCTGAGCCTGGCGCTGAAGACCCTCGACGTTGGCTAAGAAGTCGGTGTAGGGTACGGTATTATTGGGGAGGGTGGAAAAGAAGGTTTGGTTGACCGGAACAGAGTTGTAGTACGACAGGAGGAGGTTCTGAACACTGTACGCGAATTGGACAGCCGTCATGTCAGAGGACGAGGGTGCGCAGGCGCCGATAGCTGGCGCTGCGCAACCCGCGAGGAGAGCACCAATTGTAGAGAAGGATCTCATGGTGGAGAGCACGCTGGTTGTATAGAGAAAGCTGAATCTGATGAACGATCCTAGACGAGTACGACCAGACGTTCTTCTATGTTCTTATAAGCTCTTCCTGCGCATAGAGAAGGACAAGAGGAGGTTGCGCCAATAAGAAAGGTCGAACTCTGGCTTTGCGAATGACCCACTCTTTAACCGTTCCTGTCGCGTAGCTCCTGGTTCCTGCCTAAATGCGTATAGTTCGATCGGGTTATGCGGGGAAGGTTTGGAATCAAATTTCCTATCCCGTCGGAGACGTCATGGAGGCTAGCCTACCTAATGTTCAGAAAGATCCGGCTTATTTGTTGTCTCGCCAGGCAGCTGCAGCTACCCATTATTGTGGAAACCCTTCCGGTACGTTAGCAATCCACTTCGTCCCGCGGTCCATAATACCAGTGACGCTAAGGAAATACGGCGAGTTACGTCAAGTCCAACACTTCATGATAATGAAGTCATAAGGAGGTGTCTACCATTGGTTTGTATGTTAAAAATTACCGATTCGGGGTGTTCAGTTACCAGTATGAAAGCCGTACCGATGCAGCCGACAACGCGTCCCTCACGGACGAGGAAGCCAGCCTCCTCTTTTACGGAAACGCAGCTGGCGCTGGTTCTTCTGCGTGGAGACTTGCAATCTTTTGCTTGTGTGCATGTTCCTGGCCGTTGGAGCGCTCCCTTCAATGTGCGATGACTTAATTGGGATCATTCTGCTGCTAAACGTCCTGAATTTCGCGTCTACTTAGCCGTGGACAGACTATAAACCGGCAACTGGCATCGACGACCTGGCTTGGTATTCAAAGGACTTCCTCAGTGGTGCCGACGGCCTACCACTCCCACAACGACTACTGGCGCAACGTGCTGCTGTTCTCGGCGCTGTACGCAGGATGTACCGGAGTCGAAGCGGACGTGTGGCTGTTGGGCGACGACCTCTACGTCAACCATGAGATGCCGCGCTACAGCCCGGCCGGACCTTCCGTTCCCTATACATCAACCCCTTGGTGAACATACTTGAGACATAAAACCCGACGACGCATTTTTACAACGACACCAAACACGGCGTCTTCGATACGGATCAATCGAAGACGATCGCGCTGCTGGTCGACGGCGACGGGGCCGCGACGTGGACCAGAGTCCTAGAGCAGCTCGAGCCACTACAGTCCAGCGCCTTGGCTCAACGTCTACGGTGACGGCTGGATCCAGCCCGACTCCATCACGGGGACCGGCAACACACCGTTCGAATTGATAGTGCAGGACCCGACGTATAGAGACGCCTTCTTCGATGCACCACCCCTGGGCCGACTGCCCGAGAGCCCGTACGACAGGACCAACTCGTACTACGCAATAGCATCGTTCTCCTCCACCATCGGGACGAGGCTGGCTGGGCGGACTTGGTTCCCGTGGGCCAATCATCGTAATAACGCTTGTCCGAAGCAACCGCCAAAACAAATGCGGCTTTCTCAGCACTCCTAATCGGGTCAATGTCCTCCTATCACGCGCGCAGCACGGAATGTACATTATCGGGAACTCGAACAGTTACCAGAATGTTCCGATGTGGGCTGCCGTCATCGACATGCTGCAGACGGGGGGCCACTTGGGGACAAGGCTCGAACTCCAGTGTCCACGGCATCCGGACACACCAATTCTCGTGTCCCAGCCAGACCACTTTATAGAATTCTCACCAGAGAGTGGATGTAAGCTGCCCTGCGATAAGAGACTCGACTGCGGCCACTCTTGCGCTGGTAGATGTCACTCGGACGTCATACACAGCGCAGTCAAGTGCCTCGACGATTGTCCCAGGCCAAAGAAAGGCTGTGACCATCCCTGCCCTCTTCGATGCGGAGATGCTTGCGAAGAGAAATGTCATGTCCAAATGCGCGACGTCAATCTCGTCCTTCCCTGTGGTCACCTTGTCACGCCAGCCAAGTGCTGGGAAGTCCAGAATCCCGCGTCAGTTCGATGCATGGTAACGGTCTGTCTCACCGTTCCGGGCTGCAGCCACGAGGTGAAAGTACGATGCCACGAGGAAGTCACCACTGCTAACTATCAATGCACCGCCTTTTGCGGTCATCATCGCGTCTGCGGCCACACATGCAACAGCGCTTGTTTCCGATGTAATACACGAGAGTATGCAAAGATAACGCGAGAGAACCATGGGATCTGCCAGTAGAGATGTGGCCGGAATTACTCGACTTGCCGCCACGACTGCTCGAAGATCTGCCATGACGGGACTGAATGCCCGCCATGCAGTAAGCCTTGCGAAGGCCGCTGCAGTCATTCGAGATGCAGCAAGCCTTGTAACGAGCCCTGTGTACCGTGTGCCGAAGAGAAGTGCCGGTCTCGCTGCCCTCACTCACGGTGTGAGATGCCTTGCGCGGCGCCATGTGACTGGATACCATGTTCTCGGCGGTGTGAGAAGTTGTTGAGCTGTGACTATCGCTGTAAGTTTTGATCCCCAGGCCGATTTCCATGTGAAACCTTCGCTACGATTTACGACTCTATAAACAAGCTTGTGCTGACATATTCAGGTCCTTCGTTATGTGGAGAACCCTGTCCAGACTCGGCATATTGCCAACAATGCGCCCCAGGGGAAATCAAGGGCGTTTGTGTTGACTTTATCGAGATGAAAGTCTACGAGGAGATCAACTTGGACGAGGAGCCCTGCGTTTTTCCTGACTGCGGCCACTTCTTGACTGTTTCATCCATGGATGGGCAGATGGCGATGGCTTCATACTACGAGCTGGGTGAGGACGGCCTTCCGACAAAACTTCGTGGACCATCTGAGCCCTTCTCCATGGACGACTCTGGTATCGCCGTTTGTGCGAACTGTCGGGGCTCTCTTCGAAATATTTCGAGGTACGGTCGTATCGTCCGCCGGGCCATGCTTGACGAAGCGACAAAGAAGTTCATTGCTTGGTCGAACACCCAATATCTATCCCTTGCCGAGGCTCTCGTCACGGAGCAGGAGAAACTGGAGCACGTACAGGCCATTGTCGCAGTAACCCCCGTTGCAAGCTCGACCAGTGTCCTTACTCTTCCGGGATCTAGGCTGAAACAGCTTCAAATCATTCAGCGTCTATCAGGAGGTGCACGATACGAACCCTTAATCAGGATTTGGAAAAGGATATGTTCATATAAAAACAAGGTAACGAAGGAGGAGCAGCCCTTCCAGCGGGTTGCCGACCTCGTCAAGCATGCCAACTACCAGCACAAAACGATGCAAGAGTTCAAATTCGACGACTCGGTCATCCAAGTCAAGGGGTAACTGCTTGCTACGGCATTGTTGCTAAAGTGTGATGTTGTCGTTTTTTCCGATTTCGTTCGACTCTGCAAAAGGGGGAAATTGACACCATCCGAAATCAAGGCGGATTTGACAACCCATTTCCAGGACTGTGAGGAACTGGTCCGTCTTGCCCACAATTCCATGCATCCGAGAGAAGAGGTGCAAGGCCATATCCTCTGCGCGCAACTCTGTGAGTTTTCTCGATATTTCGGTTCATTCAAACCGCCACAAGACCCCACGGGCGGGCCAGCCACAGATAAAGAAGAATATCGAACAAGCTGAGGGAAAAGGGCATCAGCCATGTCATCCAAGCTCGCGCGCTGTTGGAGAAGTACCCATCCACTTCTGTCCTGGAGAATGAGATCGACGCTGTGGAGAACATGCTCAACGACGGCGAATACCGCCAGGTCACAGCTGAGGAGCTTCGGTCCGTCTACGTGGCCTTGGCCGGGGAGCTGAGGGGAACAGGTCACTGGTATACCTGTCAGAACGGCCACCCTTTTACCATCGGCGAATGCGTGATGCCTATGGAGGAAGCCAGGTGCCCGGAGTGCAACGCTCCGATCGGCGGGCAGAATCATCAAGCCGTGGAAGGCGTGAGTCACGCCACGGAGATTGAGGCTATTGCAACAGGTGTTGAGAGGTTGGGGTTTTAGGTGAAGCTGTTTTATCTTGAGTAGTTTAGATTTTACAAGACGCGAACTCTGGCGCGAGGCGGTTGAAATGTTTATCTTATTAGATGCGTGACCACCTGTGAGGTTAAAAAGTAGTGCGCTGGCAAAACAACTTATATAGTTCTATTATACGGGTCTATCCACTGTCACGAAAAAGAAAGAAAGATCCATTCGATGCGGACATTCGAGGTACAAAGATCAAGACACGGTCCCATGAATCTTGAGGGCATGGTTCTGAAGGTGCATTTTATGTTGGAGCGTCATGTCGCAGACCCGGCAGTGACTGCTGTCGCCGGCCTGCAGCTTAGACAGGTGTTTACGCCGGAAGTGCTTGCTCAGATCGCCCGAGGTATAGAACTCCCGAACAAGATCTTCGATATGAGGATCATCTAGCGAAAGGAAAATTGCCTTGCCAACGCAGAGGAAGCATCTCCGCGGCCTCTCCTTCACGCTGCGGACGAAGACCGACATCGTGGCGGCACGTACGAGGTTATCGGCTGGTGGATCAGGACTAGGGCAGCGACGAGCCGGCACCGTCGACGTTGCAAGTCTCCGGGGGACGGTACATCCTTCCTCGACAACGCAATATGCGACGACAGCATCGACGGCGTGATTCCTCCGCCGGTACTGCCCGTCGAGATCGGTTACGGCCGGGGCCGCGAGAGCTTCTACTAATCGCTTTTGTGCTGGTCGCTGGGGACGGCATGACGTGTGCGCTGTAGGTTTGGCAAACCCAAGGCCCTTGAGTTGGCGTTCAATATCGTCCACGGCTTGCTCGGCCGTCCAGTCGTCCCGAATTTTTTGCTTAAGCTCCCTCTTCAACCGCTGCTTCTCGTTCCGCAACAGACGGCGGGCCTCCTTGTACTGTTGGGATCCCCGACGGAACGCCTGGAGGCCTCGCGTAAGACGCCGAATCAGCGGATGGCTGTTGACTGAAGCAGCCTGCTCGGGTGTAAGATCAATCGGTCGGCGCTTGCTAATGGAGTGGCCGACACTGCAGGATTGCTTGACGAGCGCATGCTGTGACTTTGTGCCCTTCAGGATGCTGAAAAGATCCTTGTCCAACTCGCGCCCGAGGTAGTGCCTTTGGAGCGGGACCGAGTTGGCATGGTCCATCGCAAGGTTGCGAAGAGCCTCACTGACGTCGGCTGTAATAGGCAAAAGTCAGCTTGGGGTGTAGAAGATGCGGAAACAAAACGCACGGCTTGATGTCCACTCATTGGCAGCATTGTAGCGTAGATTGTACGGGATGGTTGGAATTTCCAATCCCAGTATTTCACCGATCCGTCTTATCCACGCCGCCATCATCGCATAGGATATGGCTTGGTTGTCGGATATATCGTAACCCGTCAATGTCTGGACAGCTCGGCGGAACACGTAAATGCCGTTCAGATCCTCCCTCAGCGGCAACAACATCTCCAGCTCGCCAGGGTGGATATCCAGGTTATCTAAGTGGTGCGGCGAGGTGAGGCTGGGGGCGCGGAATGCTCGGTGGCGGAACAAGATGCCTAGGAGGAAGACGTGGGGGCTGAGGAGTAAGGATTCATCGAATAGTGTCTCGGGTAGCGGGTAGGTCTTTCTAAGGGAAGGCATTAGCATCCTCTCTGTCACGGGGCTATCATAAACGTACGCATCCTTCTCGCCGAGGTATGTTTTGGTGAACGCCAAGGTAAACTTGATCAAAAGGTTATGCGGCCCGCCCTCCGGATCCCGCGACAGCACGACCAGGATGTCTGCGAAGCGGAGCCGTAAGATCGACGTTGGGCGAGCACCGGCCGGAGCAAGCAGGAGGAGGAAGAGCACGGCGAGGATCCGTAACTCGCCAAGCTTGAATGACTTCTTTGTCGTGCTCAACGTGGTCTCGATTTGCTGTTTTAGGTTGTCAACTGTCATACAGCGGTTGGCTCGCCTCTGGTCGCTCAGCCCATGCTTCTTCGCCAGTGCCCTGAGGACCTACAGAAGTTAGAAAGGATTGCCGCCGGGAGCCGGGAGGAAGAGGTACCTTGTGCATGCTGCGATTCAACTTGGGGTCGATCTTGTCGCTCACAGCTCTCTCAACAACAAGTCGAAAGATCTTCCAGTAGGTACCTAAAGAGCTCTTCTTTTTCGTCCCGCGCAGCTTCCTGCCGTCCTTATTGACTTTCTGGTTCAGCTTCCAGTCGAAGAAGTTGTAGAGCAGGCGGATCGAGAGGGACCCAAAACATTGTTGGGGTTCGCGCTGGAGGACATTGCAGTACCTATGAGTGGGGTTATCAGCCAGTGGAAATAGCAAACGAAGAGATCATGGGCTTCATACGAGCGCCACTGCTCCTCCACAGTATCCAAGAGCAAGTTCGTCCCCGAACTGTAATCCTCGCAGTCGAAGGCGCTCTCGTTGAATTCCTCCACCGCCCGCTGGTAGTATTCTGGGGGGTGGACATTCCCACCGAAGAGCTGCATCTGATCCTCGACGTCGATCTCCGCGTCGAGATCGTCATCGACGTCCAGGTCCTCAACGGTCGTCGCGTCGCTGTCCGAGACGCCTTCGAAATTGTCAAGCTCGAACAGTTCGTCGTCATCGTCGGGAGAGAACGAGGCGTCTGAATCGGCCGGATCGGTTAGACAGCGCTGATGTCTCGACATGCTGGAGGGAGCGCGGGACGCGCAAAGGAGGTGCTAGACGGAGGAAGCGCAAAGTGTAGGTGCGAGGGCTGAGCCAAGACGGTATGTCGAGGTGATCGATCACCCGAAGCGTATGGAAAAGGAGCCCCCGGCCGCACACTGCGAGTGCGACAGGTCGCCTTTTGAGGGCAAGCGCCAGACCCATGGTGGGAGCCATTTTTGGCTCTTGGTGAAACAGGAAACCAAGAATCGGGAATGCGGACAGTGTAGTTTTGGAGGCAGATTCTGGGACCCCTGGAGGGACTGAGAGCCCTCCGCAGGTACGTCGCGGTACATGCAAGGGTGGGCACGAAATCACGTGGCCTAGTGGTCTGCCAATGTCGGTTAAAGCAGCGACGGATTGTTGGCGAGTCTGCCTCCCAACCCGGCGGCAGAACCTACCAAAATCGGCGGCCAATTCGCCGACTCATAGTTTGACCAGCATACGCTACGTAACATTCAGCGGCGGCGCCATTTAGCGACCTACACAAAGCGTCGATTTTAACGGTATCCATTTCGGCTTTTACTGACCAGATAATCGATCTCACGGGCGACTTCTCGATGAATAGGCTGGTACCTTGCGGCATGAAGAAGTGGCAAGATGGGCACCATGAATCGGCAATCAACCCCGTCTTTGCGTCGGAAAAAAAGTCCGTATGTCGACGGCTGAGAGGCTCATCATGTCACTCGGTACTTGATCGTTATTTGGCATAGGGCGAGTGTGACGTCGACGTGTGGCTTGTTATTTCACTATGCAGCCGAAACGACAGACAATAAACGCAACGAATGATCTATGTGACACAAAAGTAGCCGTTATGGTTTTTCTGATCCGCTTCGAGCCACATAACATCTACAAAGACATGAAGGAAATCGTCGAAACTAGCCGGAGGTTTCAAGAGACCGTGCAAGCCAATCTAGGCCTCTCCTTTATTGAAAAGAAGTACGTCAAGTTAATATCTACCCTATCTCAAGTCCAATACTACCTTTTCAGTAGCTACAATGACCGTAGCAACTACACTCCTTATCGTATGCTGTCAAGTCCTTGAAATATTCTTCAAAGCTATCATCATAGAGCTTGAGTGTCACAGAGCTCGACCTGAGTTGATTCCAACCGCACGAGGACATGGTGGCGCTATCACTAGGATCAGTGGCCGAAACACCCGCAGACACGGCCTAAAATTGGATTTGCTGGCTTTGACTAGATGGCATTGTCGCCTTCTCGGTTCTCTCTTGCGCATTTAAGTCAATATCTCGCGCTGGTCTCGCCAAATTCGATCGCCAGTGATGCTTGTTGACTGGATCTTTTTAGTAGACATTAACCTCGAAGAACTTATTGTGAGCATCGCACTTAAAGTTCTTATAACTAGATTCCATCTATCAGGCAGCGAGCTGAGAGTGGCACTTGATATACTCACGTGTTGAGTTTCTGGAAGTTGGCTCGGATGAGTTCGTCTTCATCAACTTCAACGAATCTGTTGTCAGTAGCCCCTTGGGAGACGAAGTATCTCTTCGCCTCCAGTGGCCCGTAGTTCACTTGACGTACTAGCTGTATGGCATATGACCAAGTGACAGCGTCTGTGTCCGCGGCGTGACCTACTGCAGAGGCCTTCGGGAAAGCAGCCCATGCCAGAAAGGCCGTAAACTTGCTCTCGTGAGAGAGATGTTATAGACGATAGGGCATAATTGAAGCGCAACAAAATATTGGGGAGTCCATGTCTGATTTCTTGTTTAATCACTGCGTAATGCAGCTAAAGCATTTACAGAACGAGATTTTAGACTAAACAATTTATGTGATGGCATGGTCGGGTGTGAACTTTATACACTCGATATAAGGCAGTAAAGCATCACACGTGTCTGATCTTCGTCTACCTAGCCATCGTATTTCCATTGGCTGGATTTGGCTTTATGCAGCTAGGAACGCCACGCAAGATTTTGTGGCATACCCGCATAACACAACCAATCATCACCTCCTATTTGGTGCAGCGGTGAGCGTCCCATACCTGGCCCGGAGGAGAGATCAAACTTCTCTACGTGTATATAAATACGCGTGCTCCTGCCTGTGCAATCGAGCTTTCTGCCTCTTTTTTCTGTCACGGTTTATCCAAGCGGACTTCCCGCACGCACTCTTTGCCGTCAACCAATCCTCTCCTTCAAGCTTTGCTTCCGTTGTATTGCATGGTTATATTTTGTCCACCTTTTGTCCCGTCAGGTTCTCGTTAATCCCCAAATTTTCTCGTAGCGAGACTCTTTCATTTCTGATCAGGAATCAGAAGGACCGCTAGGAGCCAACTCGCATCTTCTAGAACAGACTCATCTATATCCTTTCGTGGTTCCCAGTTGGATCACTTCCGGCAGCAACGGCCCGCTTCCAGAATACGAACATGAAACTCCTACGGGTCTCCAAGAACCTGCTGGACAGGATGAAAAATTTCATGAGCAGCAACGGCAAGCACGTCATATCGAAAACGAGCACTCAGCCGGCCTAAATGCCCCACGCTCTATAGCTACATCGACCCTATTCTTTTGTCTTGTATGCGAGGGAGCTTTTACCAGTCAAAAGTCATTGACGTGAGTGCTCCTGACAAGGCCATATGCTCATTTGATACTAACTAAGAGGTAAAGTCGCCACCTCCTGCACCATTATCGTCCATTGAAATGCACTACAGCGGGCTGCAGTAATTCATTTGCTCTATGGACGGATCTTCAAGCCCACATCAATGCAGTCCACACCCTAGCACCATAGCAACAAAGATGGTTCTGCAAAGTTTCAGGATGTAAGGTCAAATTGGCAATAGAGGGCACAACACATAAAGACAGCTTGACACGGCATATGAGAACCCAACATGGGCGGTGAAAAGCTCGAATAGCTAGAGAGCATGAATTCACTCATTATCGCTGAGGAAGTAATTCCAGAGAGTCATGTGCGGAGCGACCAAATTTTAAGTAGAACGTCGCTGACGTTTGTCGATATAAGCTATTTCTAATTCTCATTCTGATACTAGCTTAGACAACTTTTTTGGTGCTGTTGAAGCGGAGCCGGTTGGCAGCGGTTCTATCGACTTGAATTCCAGGCCTGCAAGTCAGAACCAGCACGGTGCTGATGGACTTGATTGCCGATTGTAAAGGGTCGAGATTTTTCCCCAACATCGAATGTTGTCGCCGAATGACCTGCTTGATTTCGATCGTACGTCTCGCAAGGCGCAATCGCAAGAGGGTGGAAAGCTCCAAACCATGGCCCTGATAGGATGCGAAGTCTCAAGTTACCAGGCCCGGCCACATATCGCAACACTAGAAGGGCATAGTTACATAGTCGATCTAAAAATGTTTAATGCATGCACCAGGGCCGCAGTGTTAGCTGCGATGGTCGAGGCGGATTGCTGAGGAAACCTGGATTGCATGATTCTACGGCACGTCATTCGAAGTATAAAAAGTGCGTGTCGGCCGTCCTAGAAATTATGTTTTCCTTCTCCTATCCTCACACATTATTCACGATCTTCATCGCTCTTTTGGTTTCTTGAACCTAGCCACTTTCTCGGAGCGATTTTTAAAAAAAAATGGCACAAGCACTGCCTACTTCGTCTGGCCCACCGGGTGAAGATGCTTCGTCTAACTTCCTTAGTAAACTACAGCAGGCCTACGATAAGGGGTTCCAAGACGGTTTGAAGTGCTCACAGGAAGCAATAGCACCTCCTTGGCCTTCATTCTCCTTCGCAACATCCACTGAGCAGGGTATTAGGGCAATGAACAATTACGCTCAACCCATGGCATCCCCTTGGCCTTTATTCTCATTCGCAACATCAAGTGAGCATGGTAGCAGCTCAACGGACAACTACACTCAACCCACATCGTCGATCTGGACAAATAGCGGTTTGATACCACACCTCCAGAGCCAGCCCGAGATTGAGCTTGCTTCGCAGGGCATCGACCTTGACGCATGGTTGTCGCTCAACCCCAGAGCACCAGCTGCAAACATAGGCGGTAGTGAACTGCCTAGTCACTCATCAGCGGAACTCCCATCAAATGTGCACCCTGAAGGCCACGTCATCGTGCCTCGGACTGAAAGTGAGACAGCGAGGGACCAAGGCCCGTCATTCAAGGAGCCATCCAGTATCCTCTTAGCTACATATGCATCGCCAAATATCGGAATAGAGTCACCGGAAGAACAATACCTTGAAAATATCAACGTCAAGAGTTACTCTCCTTTACTTGATCAACGCAAGGAACTTGATCAGAACGAAGGAGACAACCTTGCAAGTCTAATAGAGAAGGACCACGACAAGGTGCTGAACAATACGCCTTGTAACACATTTCCTGTGAAATTGCCCTAAGCTGGATCGAGATTGAAACCCGACAAGGAGGGCTCGAACGACAAAACATCAGCGGGAACGTCCATCGAACCATATGATGCGAACTAAAGCCAGCCGACAAACCGGGCAGCAGATACTAACGCGAACTTTAGGAGTCGGAAGAAGAAACCCAGGTTTTGTCAGAACCTACCAATACAAGATGAGACGAGAAAGCCGTTACTTCATATAGAGTCTCAATTCATAACCTCTAGAAGCGAGAAACACTTCGAACGTCACTTAGGTTCTACGAGAAGTCAAATAGCTGAGCCGAGAGACTACTCAACTTCAATCCGGGAAACAGATTCTCCAATAAGTTATTCAACAACGCGGTCGACATGAAACTTATTTAAAGAGTCAACGGTTTGAGAAGAGTGAACCCTTTCGGGTGGGCAGTGGAGGCTCATCTGACTGCAGAACTACATTAGATCGCACACTCCAACTCGGCTGATATTGTCGTGCGAGTGAACATAGGGCAATTTTATCAGTTCCGAATTCGGGTCTTAATTGAGCTATTTTTATTGTTACGTGCTACAATTAATGGAAGAAGAGCAATAAAGCACAACCGTGTTGCATTGTTTTGACGATTGATGAAGAAAGAAACAGGTAGAGACAGAGTAATAGATGGCTTGTTTAGTCAATCAGCATCGTCACCATATGACTCACTACTACACTTTCATTCCCATGAAATTCACAAAATAAAAACTTGAACGGACAGTAGAAAGCTAGATATGTGAGGCTGAATTTGGCTGTGCCCAGGGCTGCAGCATTAAGCAATACTGCTTTTCCGAATTTTACTTTGCGGTAGCTACACATGTCTGAGCGTGCGGTCGTACTTCTGCAGACTATATCTACCTTAATTTGTCCACTGTATGTTACGTACTAGACAGCTGTTGAGGTTAGACTACGTAAAACTGATGACTCGGGTATTATGGCTCAGAAGTGTTATTTGGGCTCTACAACCCTGTTCTCCCTACACAAAACAAAACTGACGCCAAACGCACGGACTCTGACGGAATTCATCACTATGTCGTTCTTGGCCTACCCGTTCCCTGCGAGGTACAAGTTCTACCAAAAGCGCCGCCTGTGTGCATAGCCAGCAAAGGAGATATAGTGGTAATCAAGATGCTTCGCGGCTACGGTGCTGAACGCGGTATCGACGAGAATAAAACCGCTCAGGCCTGTAGTCTTGCCGCAGGCCTATCAGATGTTGTTGTTCTTCTCGAGCGACCGCGTGCTAAAACATGCAATGTTACTTTTGATCGGTTCGTCGAAAAGTCAAAAACCTTGCAGGCTGTGGATGACCTTGTTCGATTCGCCACCTGAGGGACCCGGAGAGCTAGTTGCAAGGTAATCTTCGATAATGGCCTCAGCGTGAGATAGATTAGTGAAAGCTGGATCTATGGTATTTCCGTGCGGTTTCGTCAGGAAGTTGACTGCATCCTCGCGATGTCAACTAGCTGCCCCTCAATAAAGTGAGTTTGCTCCTTTTGGAGATACGTAAGCACCTCTAATATGACAACATATTGCGGGCTTGGTACTTTCTAGCCCAAACTCGAGCGTGATACCTCAGTATGTGGTGGAGTATGGTAGTTTATAGTGGAAGCGCTATTTAACAGACAACAGGACATATTCAAAATTCAGGTAAACTATATATACTACCCATCTATCACGGTGACCATCAAGCAACTAATGTTCTTCAAGCGCCATGGCTCATACAAGATCAAACTCTCAGGCGAATACGAATCAGCCATCACAGCAAAGCCAAACTCAGCCGGCTAGCACCCACAGAAGAACTAGGTCCCAATCCCAGGGAGGACTCCAAAAAGACACCAATTCCGCCAAGGCGAAAACAGACTCTACAAAAGTAGGTTTAACTCGTGCGTTGATCGCACAGGCCCAAGGGAAACAGGTGGAGGAGCAAGTAAATGAAACTAGCGGCCCCAGCCCTCCCGATCTTATGCCGATCGATGAACTCGATGAAGGCAGTGCGACAATTGGTTATGGCAGCCGTCCCAACAGAACAGAGCCCACATGCTCGGCTGACGGAAAAACCCTCCACAAAGAAGACGAGGCCGCACCTACCGACCGTCGGTCAAACCATGTAGACGATGGTTCAGCAGCCTTAGAGAAAATGAAATCCGTCGTAGAAGCTCAAAGAGCAAAGCGAGACAGGGTTACACAGGATCTCACGGGTGTAAAAAGATTGTTTGAAAATGGCGACCACAGTAAAGAATCAGAGTACCAAACGCTTTGCGAACAATACGAGGACCAGAAAAGAGTTCTAGCCTCTGCTGAACGCGAATATGATGAGTTGCTCTTGAATCACGCTGAATCCTCTCATGCCAGTGCGAGCCGTATAGACTCTCCTAGACCGACAGATATATACGCAGTACCGGACGACGACAAGGGCCTAAATCCAAGCAACGGTACATTTGAGATGCAATTCAAGCATTGCGGCGGTGTTGTGTATGATGCTTACCGGTATGGACCTAAGGGGCAAGAGCGTTTTGAGATCAGAGGCGGTAAAAAAGGAGGTCGGCCAGAAATACCGTATGGCGACAGGCCGGACATGCCTAAGATTCCTCTAAGGGCTGAAAATATCGAGAAGATTATATGGATGACCTTTAAAAAGATGACTCCCGAGGAGACCATATGTTATGAAAACTGGAAAACGAATGCTGGCAGGATGGCGCGTCCCGTCCACAGATTTTTTGTTCGTTGGCCTACGGAGGACGGCGGTGTCCATTCGTGGGAGAAAAGAACAACTGTGGAGAAGCACTGGAAAAATTATGCCGAAGGAGAGAAGAGGGCCAAGAAAACTTTGACTGTCAAAAGTCCAGTAAGAATGGGCGACATTGAGGTTTTGAAACCTGGTGAGACAATATCAAAGCTCGACTACGTGGCAATCACGACTGCGTGTCAACAGTACCAGAGACATGTGAATTGGGCCAAGCAGCAGAGTGCTGCGCGCCGACCTGGCTTGGAAAGAGGGAAAGCGTTGAAAGTAGAAGACGAGGAGTTCTAGGGCTCTTTGTTCTGGAGATTTTATGCAATGGTCTTTGAGCTTTCTGTATTGTAATGTTTTACATGTACTATAGTCCTATATTTAGGAGAATTAGATAGTTCTCATCATCCTTGCTTATAGCACTTAATAGCCTTGCGCCCCACCCTATTATAAAAGCTGCGTCATAAAGGCCAAGCGAGACCATTAGGTATGACTATTTACTGACGCGCCGGCATTAAATTTAAGATCCATCATATTCCAACTACCAAAGCGAGGACTAGCGCTCTTATTGCCCCTGTAGATGACCTTTTGGCTAACAGGGATGCGAGCGAGGACTTTGATGAGTCCTGGCGTGATTCTCAGGCCAAAAGAATGCTGAACGAACCCTCTTAGTACGGAGTATATTACCACCCATGAGACCAACCATAGTGAGGCATGTGGAGGTGGAGAAACGAGATACATTCGTGTAGAAAATCATCGCTCTCGTGACTACCGTGGCCGTCAACGATAAGTAATAGCTGCTGTGGCTTCTCTGGCGTTATTATAGGGATTAAGACCTCTTTGAGCGATAGTAGGCCGGAGACGTGATTTGCCAAGTCCGTTGCTATGTCTACTTGTGTGCATCCCGCCGATTTCTTCAGTCATCTGTAGCCAATTAAATGTACGGGATAATGTACAAAGAACAACTGTCGCACGGCGCATCATTTATCACCACACGGCAAATGGTCGTGGCTGCTATTCTACCCCTGAACAACACACAAAACATCCCACTTTCCTTATCAGGCATAGCGATAGCCTCAAAATACGGCCTCAACCCAAAACAAAAACCACCAAGCAGTCGCGAGCAAGGCGTCTGTCGACTTTCGCACGCACGATTTATTCTTCCCATATAGACCATTATTCTTCCCAGCCGAACCAGGTGCGAAACGGCCTCCTCTTCCATTGACCTTCCAGCTCTACCTGCTCCGCGTTGGGCATGCTGCGTCTCAGTAAGCCAATCACAGTGTCACCCTAAATACTGAAGAATCGCCGACACGCAGAGTTAATGGACACGGACTGTTGGCATATGGCCACCTCGCTGAACGGTGACGCCGACCTACCCTTTAGATGTGGCATGCCCGTGGATGGACCCATTTACGTGCGGCAACGACGTCGGAGGCCTAGGTTGATCGATGCAAGCTTGGCCTGCGATGAACCGACGACCGACGGTTGGGTGGTCGGTGCGATGCCTAGGCATGGGCCTGCATTAGCAAGTAAAACAGCGCCGTGTCGTTTCCTAGACTTCACCTACCCTGTAACGATCTATGTCTTCCATAAGTTCGCGAAAAGATGGCAACTGGCATTCATTTCGATTTCTTCGATTGCGAGCCTTTGTCGAGGCAGCAGGCCAACCCAATTCAAGCGAGGCCGTTCCATGATGGCAGACTTCGCTGGTCCTGCTCGTATAGTACTGAGTATCAAGGCCTTCGAAATGCGGCGTCTGCGCGTGTGCCACCGCAGGAACATCCCTCGTCGTTCTTTATGCGGAAGCAGGCGCAAGTTGGCCATGGAAAGCCTGCTGGAGGCTGTGAGGCGATCTCATCGTAGACGGCAGAGGTGCAACACCAGCAGCCTGGGGCGGCCTGCAGGCAACATATCCGTAGTCTCCAGCATATCTATCGTGTTGGGTGCGATTTGACTCGTTACTGGGCGAGCGCTGTGACTTCAGTATGAATCTTGGCTCGGGCCATGGCTGTGACCTGTAAGATGCTTGCTTCGATTCCATATTGTAGGGTAGGCTTGTGTACAAATTTGAAACGTGCCCAGCCTTTGGGTCATTGCTTACATTGCCTTTATGAAGCGTATTTTGATGGCGTTGGCCCCGCTGACGTCAAGCCCTCTGTTCAGTTGCGAGTGACAACTTCATGACGCTCATGACCATTTGTGTCTTTTTGGATTGCACATCTGGCATTCGCTCATCCGCGTGATGTCAGCTCGAAGATTTCTTGACATGTGTAAAATTGGCCGAGGGAGTGGTTTTGCAAGAACGTGTTGCCAGGAGCTGACGTAGTTTGGCAATTGGTAGGTTGTGCCGCCAAATCTTGGTGAGCCCGATCTAGGGTAGGGCACTGCAATGTTTCGACAAAAGAGACATGCCATGAACCGAGGACTCAAAGAAGACAACCATGATAGAATGGCAGTATGTACGCTATAAACGACGCACTCTTACGTGACTGGCCATTCACCCAAGCCATTTATATTTTATTTCAGCTATTTTACCGCAAACTACATCGTCATGCTTGGGTAAGATGTGTACGCGATCTTCAACGCCTCCAAGAGGAGTTTCGAGCAGCGAGACTTCTTCCAAATGACCAATCCAAACCTTTCATCCCCCTGAAAGCACAGCCTTGTGTATTTTACAGCTTTCTCGCCGTCTCTTAAGCTCTGTTCCAGTCTCAGGATCCCACCTGCTGCCCATTCATAGACCTGAGCTCCTCACCTGGGCCCGTCAACCGTGTTCGATAAAGCCACTTGACTTTCAACATAGAGTATAGCGAGCCAATCCCCACGCAAATGTCATGCAGACTATATATGAGCCATATGAACTGACTTGTCAGAGAAACTTCTCCCAGTCCTAGAGGGGGACTTACCGAAAGCGTAACAAGTTGCGGGGACTGGCTCATCTCCCAGCGTCCGCTCCGGGTCTCGAGCGCTCCGCATATGGCAACGAGAGCAGCCGTGGCCACAAGCTGAATCATTACGTTACCTCTCAGCTTAGGAGTCGATTGTTTCCTGCGCTCCCAGAGAAACGTCGCCCACTGTAACACCATGCCAGCGCGGAAAAGGATTGACGGGATCCAGATTGAGAGACTTCCTGGCCCGGAGGGCTCAAGCTGAGAGATTAGACCTCTAAGGAGGACCCCAAAACACGGTGCAAAGATGATGAATAACCCAATTGGGTGGAATGCCATCCTCCCAATAAGCCAGTTTCCTCCCAGCCAGACACACTAAGGACGTCAGCTGCGCCGAGCACCAGGGCTGGGTTTCATACCTGGTCGATCATGCTGCAGAGGATGAGAGAGCCAAGAAGACCTTCTGTCAGAACTTCCACCCCCAACAAGCTGAAGTTACCGAATGTGACAAGCAGACCAAGCTCAGAAAGGACCAAGCTGGACAGAAGAGCCTTGAATAGCCGGGGAAATTCGAGCCTCAATATCTCTTCAGACTGATCTTCTTGATGTCTGCGACGATGCACAAGATAAAGGACAAGTACTCGAAGAATGAATGCGGCAATACCGGTACCGCATGCAACAAGCATTACGGCGTGGACGAGAGCCATTTTGAAGACCATGATCGCATGGGAGAAAGCGCCGAACCGGAAGGGCAGCCTATGTGTGTTTAAATACTCAAGAGAGCGGCACCAGGCGCGTTCATTAATGCGACAGCTCAGAGCGAGATCACCCGAGACGTACAGAACAGCCTACGTACGCAGAGAGCGGTAGCAGATCACCCGGCAAGATCGAATTTGATTGGGCAGCCTTTGAGAGGGCCGTCTTGGGGAATCAAGAGCGTTCTCTTCTGTGAAACTTTAGGCACATCTGTGTGGGGGTCATGGGATGCGACGGCAGAGTCGAGCTGTAATCTCTGGCAAGAGAGCCTCGGACTTGATGTGCCCAAACTGGAGTTGTAGGATTACGTATACGCAGGTCGACGCGGAACCACCAGATGGGTTGAGGGGATATATATATATATATATGTTGCAGCCACTGCCAGGTCAAATGCGGGCGTCGCTATACGACCGTAAGTGATTTCATCTACTGATGCACTCTCTTTGCTCTCCTTGAGACGGCTGCATGCAAGGCGAATTCGCACACTTCATGCAACAACATGGACCTCTCCACCAACATATTCGAACAGTCATTCTACGGCGAACAGGAGCTTTTCGACAGGATCAACTCATCGCACCAGACCGAGGCCCCGCGATCTGAGGCATCGGAAATAGGAACAGAGGCTGCCACTATCCTGTTGACGATGGCGGGAGAGCCACAAGATGACGACGATCAGCAGGACAGAGGAGAGTGGGTTTACAGCGAGCCTCGACAGCTTGGGCTTTTCGAAATCACAGGTTACCATAGGCTGGGATGCGACATGAAGATGGAAACAGGGGCTAGTGTGCAGTTCGCAGTCTCTGCATCTGTGGCAGGCAAGTTATACTCAAAGATCGCAAAGCCGCTGTTGTCTGTCAACTTGTCGATGCCGCACTTTAGAGATGGCGAGGTGTGGGTGACCCTGTGCGTGATGATGCCGAACAAAGTCTGCTACGATCTTTCACAAGTTGTGGGAAACCTGATGCGGGTTTGAGCTCATTGACAATGACTCGAGAGCAGGCCTAACACACATGTTGGTCAGATCATAGCATTGGATGGGCTCCGGAGACAATCTTTTCGAGCACCCGCAAAAAGCTCGTTATGTCCTTAAAGTGTAAAGAGAACGCAATTGTACAGGAGCATGACTTTAATTGGGCAGACATGGCGGCGGCTGACATAAAGTCTAGGTGTGCTTTTGGCTCAAATAGTGTGGTATGTTTGTTGAACTACAATACCATATGCTAGACTAGTCAAATTCCAGAGTGGTTCCCTCAAGCTCTACATCCAATTGAGACGTTGTTAAGGCATATTTACAGTACACGTGAAGCGACAGCATGGAATACTGTAGTGACATCTCGTTGAATCGTTATAGAATACTGTATTAATTGTACATGCAATTCAAAGCCGAAAGTTTTAAACGAGGATGCCGGCTTCTCCATCATCCTATCGTCATCATCAATGCAACCGATTGGCCGTTACCAACCTCAGACATAGCCATCTGGAATGCCGTCGCTCGAGTATGATGCTGTCTACCGTGGCACTGGCTGGTGTAACAAGGCTTATCGAAACGAAATTCGAAACTGCCGAGTCGGAAAGGCCTTAGCCGGGCACCGCTTCATGGTAATGCGATTGTGTGGGGCATGGTTCACGGTCGACCATTTCAGCTCGAATAGCAGGACAGAGCTAGCTCCGTTCTCGAAAGGCAAAGCATTCTTATACGTGTGTTGCTTCATGTGCTACAAGTTATAAACGACAGAAGGAATAAATTTTATAAACTGAACTTTTTACACGCAACAGTTCGGCCACTACCCAGATTCTACTCACAAGAGAAAAGCGTGAACCTCCTTAGCCTGTTGTGGGTCTCTATGTAAAAACACCTTCCACCACCACTCAGAAACAAACATTCCCTACTCTTGCTGGACAAGGGCTTCAACGGAACTTAAACACTCCTGAATGACAGAAAACTGCCCATGCGTATGATAGTGAAGAATGGGCAGGATTTGTAACAGCAGGTCTTTACGGGCCTCGTGATATTGTTTCTCCCGATAGAGCATTTGGATCTCCTCCGTGAGCTCTTCAATTCTCTCCCGATGGGGTGTCTTCAGCTGCTTCTGAGGCAGTTCCTTGAGTATAAGTGTGCTGTGATCTTCCGGTCTGAGCGTTCTGACCTCAAACTCTAGAGCTTCTGTTGACCTAGAACGTTCCTTGCCGAGGCAGCGCGAGATTCGACTCCTAATGCTGGATTGTTTCATGTTCAGGATGAGAGGGATGGGTTCAGCAACCGCTACAAGGGTTGACTACATAGCATCGACGTCACGGTAATAGGCAAGACAGGGCCAGGATGTTAAATGAATGTGTCTAGTTGCCTGCGATCGAGCACAGGTTACCCAGGGCCACCACAAATGACGAGGTCAATTTCTCAACACCCAACGGAAAGTCGTCAAAACAACACCTCGTCGATGCGACCAGTATTGAAACTAGCGAAGGATTCACGTAGCGTCATACAGCCTGGCAATCTAGCCCTTTGTCCGGTTGTAGTCATTTTGGCGTGACAAAAACTGACCAGGGATGGAGATGGTAATAATTCCAGTCTGCTTTTTGATCTTAGTGTCATTTGTCAACGGTTGCCTTTGGGACGAGTCCTCAGCTCCACAAGACTATTCGCCTGAGGAAAAGACCGCGTCCTGTCACGATAAGCTCTCTAAAAACCGGCCAACGGCACAAATAGAGGCAAAAGATCACCACGCAAAATTGGTTGGCAGTCTTGAGGGGAACCAAACCACCCAACGCGATTTTCCCAATACGAGCCTCCACAGGGGGTCCTGAGTGTATGATTGGTGAATCTGGAGACAGTGGTGTGAAGCCATACAGTAAGCACTTCAAAATACAACGCACAAAGCGAAGAAGAACTGTGAAGAAAGGCTCCACAAGGTTCAAGTCAAAACCAACTGCATCGGTGATTCGTGCTGAATTCGGTAAGTCTCTGCTCGCATTTGTATATTTGCATGTCGAGTAAATTCGATGATTGTCGATGGATATACATTCTCCAAAGACAGCCAATGGCAGCCGTTGGGGTCTGCTAGTCTCCTCTCTGTGCACACGCAATGTTTTGCCCCGCCGTCCAACAAGGGGCCTACATGTCTAATCTGTCGCGCCACTGTTGGTTCGAGAACTTCGCTTCACCTTGCGGCACAGAATATCGGGTTACTCTGTAGTATCCACATTCATCGTCGACGACTCCAGAATCGCGTGTTGGGCGGATTTGATGTGATAACGCCCCCTAAGCGCCGCATGAACAATTTTTGTTCACAAATATGGCATCAATACCATCATTGTCCTCGAGGTGAACCAGAATGTCGGGTCGACGTTTGTAAAATATAAAGCCTACTTGTGCACGATGATTTGGAAGAAGACCGAAGAACCAAGCACAGAATGATTAGCGACCGGTCTTTCTGAGGTTTACGTTTTTATGGGCTAAAAATGGCTTCGTCGGACCGTTTCAACCGCCCGGCCCATACAGGCCTGGCCCCGCTGGCTCCACGGCCGCCCTCAACGCCGGTGGTTTGCCGCTCGACCAGTTCCATTCAAGGACCGCCTAGCCCATATACTTCGCTTGTAGCGGCTTCGGTACCACCATTTGACACGATACATTCGAACACCAATGATGAAATCGAAGACATTACAAACTCTTTTCCGGCCCCTCAAAGCGTGCCGTACAGCGGCTCGGCAACAGGCGGTACTGACGATCCGGGTAACATCAGGTGCCTGGCTATGCTGTAAGGCCCCCGTCAATTCATTCTAACCAAGCTGAGATGGCTGACAAGTCGTTGAACAGAATCAGTATGTTGCGTCATTCTCCGCTGCCTGCAGGATCAAACTAACGGAGCGCCAAGAATTACAAACTTGGAGAACCAACCGGAAAACCAGTAAGGGTACCGCTGCCTACAAAATTCAGCAATTTGGAGCACTCATTTACTCAACAGATACACGTCGAACCAAAAACTTTGCCGAGAAATAAAACAGGATTTGTTGCGGGTAGTGAATGCTTTGTCCAGGACATAGGATGAATTTATCGGAACAAATGATTGTACACAAAAGAAACGATAATAGGGCCATAGTTCTATGGATTTCCGACGAAGGTTTCATAACAATCCGTCATGCAGCCCCCTGCAGCTGAATGAGCCTACCATGTATTACGGATAAGCATCGGGTCGGTTGCGGCGCGGCTCGCATAGCCAAATACGCACGTGATGAGAGCGCCTGCTGCAGTCGACGATGTATGGGCAGGATAAGCGCCGACCAATCCTAAAGAGGGTGTAGGGGCCGCCCCAAATAACAAAGGTGGCCTACAGATGCCTCAAGGCTTAGTCTTCGTACGCCCCTTTTTTTCATGCAGGTGCCAAAAAGACAAGATGCTACCTGAGCTCCCAAGCAGTGAAATTCTCGATGCTAAGGCACGGTCGAGGAAAGAATATTATCGATGCGGCAAAATAACCTTGCTGTCGATCAGGTTCGCGGGCATCAAACGTAGGACCACAGAGGCGGCAGGGCATCCATCGAGGTCAGCTCACTCGGGCCACACCACACACCTGCACCTTTTGCGTTGGCTTTGAAAGTACAATTGCAAGTGCCTCAAGTGAGCACATTGTTGCCATCTAGGGGTGCGTAATCCCGCTGCTGCCTATGTTGGAACCAACATCCCACTTGTATTGTTCCTGACCTTCTCCAGATGCTTAATGCAACTTTTGTGTCTCGCTCAGTTGTGTAGCGGCTCCCAGGCCGGCGCATCGAAAGTCAAGCGTATTCTCGCTGCCGGAATCCGAAGCGGCACGCCTAAATGAGTATGCTCGACGTCTGCGCCGGCTAGCAAAACAGAAAACGATAACGATGAACGCCATGCCAGTGGTAACAGCACCGACGGTAACACCAACGGTGGTCTTCTTCTGCTTTTCCGTGCTCACGGCATCGGCGTTGGCCGTGAAAGGGTCGTGATTGGGCACAATGACACTGGCCGTGGAAGTTACCGTACTAGTCCAGAATTCCCCACTACCTACAGAGCTTTGGCCGTCTGATGTTGCAGTCGCAAAGTTGGTCAACCCGAAAGCGTTGGATGTGGTTTGACGAGTCCATCCGGAGCTTCCAGAGTCCGGGTGTGGCCCGAACGAAGTTGTGACGTCAGATGTTGGTGCCTGAGTGACGGGCGCAGCAGTTGAATCACTTGACGTCGCCGTGTGAATTGGAATGTTCATGTTCTCGTGTATCATCGACGAACGGAATTTGGCTGGATCAGGCAGAATGACGGCTGCGCTCGTGTGCATGAAGGGTGAGTACGTGGGGATTCGGTCGATCGTTGGTGTGCCTTTACTTGGTCCGGCACCGGAAGTTTTTACAGCAGCTTCAGAAAACCGAGCACCGGTCTGTCTCGAGGCAGGCAGTAATGGAATGTTGCTGGAGAGCGACAAGCTGGAGTCAATCTTTGTCACGAAAGAAGACCAACTCGACGAGTGAAGTGGACGTGTTGATGACAACAATAGCACGGAATTGTATGATGAGGTTGCCGTTTTCCGTATCGAGCTGCGACTCGTTTGTATCACTGAAGTGGCTGCTTGGAGACTTTCCAAAGAGACAACGCTGTAGTGAGATCCAGACGCCGAGGATCTAGATGATGTTGACGTGTACTGCGTCACAGTCACGATCGCGGGAGCAGTGAAGTCCATGCTTGTTGACACAACTGGCGTTGGTCTGGACCATAGGACTGGGGTTGAATGGGTCTCGGCTGTTGAATCCGGTGGCGTCGAGTCAACTGACGCTGTTCCAGCCTGTGCCATGGTTTTGGTGATAGTTATTTGGTGTGTCATTACCGAGGTCTCCAGGATCCAAGGTTTATCGGCGGACCCTGTAGAGATTGGGTTAGAAAGGCGTGAAACGGCAGCCCAGGTGCTTTGCTTAATGGCGGGGCTCAGAGACTTTGCGGTGGTCTCTGGCTCGGTTCGGGTTTCGGAGTTCGCCGAGGCAAATGTTCTCGAAGACAGGAAGCTTGATGCGGTCAAAAAGCTGGCGTCGCTAGACCTCACTCTCTGCGCATTAGATGGAGACGTCAATACCGTAGCTTTTCCATCGAAACCCTGAGTAGGAGACGTGTCAGCCTCATCTCCTACGAGCGATTGTCTGTAGCCACCAAAATTGCTGAGCGTTTTCGTCGTGATTCCTTGGACCATTGCAGATCTGTAGTTCGACACTGCGGCAGTGTTGAGACGGGCAGTATAGCTAATATTCCCAGCCATTGATCCGCCATGAATGGCACCAAGAGCGTAGATCTGAATGCCCAGAGCCATCCAGACGATGGCAGGCAGCATGGCGGCGACGACTTCTCACGAGTATTGGGAGTTCTTGTTCAGTACAGAAAGCAAAGAGCGAATGAGTTTTCTAAGGCTCCTGTAGCGGAACGTCTGCCTTGTATAGGAGATAGAGGGGGAGACAATGACGACTTGTGGATAACTGGTTGATTCACACTGTCGTCACACTTCAACACAGACTTAATTTATTTCTTTTCTTTGGAGGGTTTTCTAGTATTCCAGCTGCTTCAGATTTTAAATGCCACTCCGTGTGGACTGTTGTTCACTCATTCATTAGGTTGCCAAGGCCACGTTTTACGATTCACGTCGCCTGCTGAATATGAGTAAAATCAATAACGCATTTTAATGGACAAACTCATCTATTCGGTAATTCTATCTACCTAATATCATAGACAGGATCAAGAGAAAGACGGTGAGTACACCAACAGTGCGCGAGGAACCTGGAGTCGAGTTATCGATAGGGGGTTGGGGTGGTGACGTCGAAAACGCGTGGGCTGTCAGATTTGCTACGCCAGTGCCATGGGCGTAATTGATCGTTGTCAAGGTGTGTTGCGGAAGAATGACAGACGATGCATGGCAAAGCCGAGTTGAGCAGTTTGGTAAGTGTCCGCCGGGGACGTGACCAGAGGTGGTGCACGGACTTTGTAGAGCAACAGTCATGGTTGTTTCTCGTGTTGCATATGCCAGGACCTAGCCAGATCTTTATAAGAAGTAAACCTTGATGCATTGTGTCTATTTCAGCCTTTGTCGTTAACTTGCTACGACGAACGCTGCATGGAAAAGATTCTTGCGCTTTGACGCATATTATCTCATTCCATGCCCAGTTGTGAAGAAGGGGCTGAAGCCTTGAGCATCGTCAAAACTATATATCATGAATGCTTCAACGTCATTGCAAGAGACCTAAGGAGTCATGTGCTATTAGTATATTCTATCCTCGAGATGCTTGCCGCCACCCATCGCTTCCGCGGCTCCGTTTTTGAGGTCCCGTGGTGTCGTCAAGTCATGGTCGACGACGTTCTCCTTACCTTCAAAGCAGGTGAAAGGACGTTTTATGGAGTTAAAGGAGTTGAGGCAGAAGAAGATTTTCGATGGGATTGGCCCCATTTAGAGAACTTATTCTGGGTTCAAGAGGACAGTGAGAAGCTGAGCTGGTGGCAAGACATCCACCAACGTCCGCGAATCTCCGAATCCACTCTGCCTTGTGACATCGAAGCTATCCTTGGCCATTATCAATCATCAAACAGTATCATACATGTTGGAGTCAAGTGGAAGGGCCATGACTGTCCGACATGGGAGCTGGAAGATGAAATTGCAGACGTAGTATTCGCGCATGGAGTAAAGTTCGAGTCACTGTGGTCGTAGCTGTGCTCTACCTACTTTTACAATCAAACGTTGTTGATTGCTACCCATCGTTCGCATTCAACTCTCGTCGAACAATTTCCAAGCGTGCGCATGATTCAGGATTACGCTCGCAAGTTGAGCTGAGGCGACGAGAACGTGTCCGCGTCCCTTGTCTGAAATATACATTAGCACGACTTCAAGACCTTCGCAGAACAGAATGTGTGCTTCGTAAGTATGTGCACCCTCAAGGGACGGATGGGTTCTTGACAACTGAAAGACCGCATCAAGACATCCCATCAGAATGTTTGACGGTGGAGCATACTCGACATAGAAAAGAAAGTCGGGCGCCGGCTAAAGAGCATATATACCTCAAGAATAATACGCCGTCACAATTCCGAACAATGCAACAACCGAGGCAAGTCATCCACGGTCAAGGGACATCGCTCCACCGCGACATGCTGTGGGATAGCGATCAGATATCCTGGATCTACACCACAGCAGCGGCTGGATTCTCGTCAGTGCTTCTAGCGGGCTACCTAATCTCTCCGTCAACATATGCATCTATTAGCCACGTTGGCGCTGTTAGCACGGGAAAAGTTGAGACATCCGTCATGATGGCCGTGCACTATGTTCCCCTCATCGTGGTGGCATCTGTTTTCTGCTTTATCGCTTCAGCCGGCCTCGGGTGGCTGTGGTGGAAGTGCCAGCACAATTACTACTGGGTCAAACGTAACACTGTTGTGTAAGTGAGGCCCCAGACTGAACCAGTCCCAGAATCTGTCTGATGCTCCAAGACCTACACTCACCAATTCTGCCATGGGACTGATGTCGACCATCATCAACATATACACGGCGAGGCACGGCCAGTGGTCAATTACTGCCATCATTTCCGGTTGCGTCATTGGTGCCTGGCTCACGCTTTCGATTGTCGTGTTCATCATATACGACATCATCTTGATCCCTCGAATTGAGAAAAAAGATGTAGAATGGGGGAGAAGAATTAATGCCTCTTCTTCTGCAACCCACTACGGTATTGCCCTGATTAGGTCAGCGAGAAGAAAATAACACCGGAGGCCGCGATACATGATGCACCTGTGTGATATTCGGGATTTTATATTATATAGTCACGGTTCAGATTCCTGTTATTCGCATGCCGCGATGTTGTTCTTCTCAGCTTCTGCAGCCCCTGAGAGATGACTGGTCATGAAACTCGCATTTTTGAACACCCGTGTTCCGTTATTGTACTGTACAGTGGCCACTCTTCATGATATCATTTGTCCTCATGATTTCTTTGATGTAACATTGTGCTGAATTTTAAGAAGAAGCTTATCTCAACTGCACTTGACAAACTCAAGACCATCTAGCAATACCAGTGATCGTCTAGCAATACCAGTGATCGTCGTGCAAAATCCCCCCACGCCCTGCGGAATGCTTGCTTTTCAGGCTGCGTTGAGGTATCATGGGGAGCATCAACGGCGCCGAGCTCGAGCTCGGGTTCAGCCTCCCGGGGTATGCTTCTATCTGTTGTGTGAAGAGGGACGTTCTCTGTAGAATCCCCGGGGAAAGATAAAAAAGATACGTTGCGCTGAGGAGAGATTGCCCCTATGATTTCTGAGGCCTTGATTTCTCCGCTTTGATCGTCATGAATGGAGTCTGTCTCCGTACCGGCCGAATAAACTTGAATGGTGCTCTCTTGGCCGTGACTACCGTGTTGCTCTGACCCGGAATCTATCTCGTTCGTAAATTCATTGTCTGGCGAGCTGGGGCCACTATATCCTTTGTCATCTGACACATCTTGCGAAGGCACGGAGGCTGTGTCTGCTGTGCCTTGTGTCTGTTTTGAGATAGGTCACTTCCGGCACCTTTGTGGGCTCCCTTTCAAGAGTACCTGGAAGTCCTCTGTTCTTAAAGCGCAGTCTCAGCTTGTCCATTGTCCACTCAACGTCCGATGCTGAAAGCCAGGGTTGATTTGTGTTTGCTCCAGGGTGGGGAAACGTAGTGTTTCTATCTGTCATTCAACAAATTCGTCAGCCTGTAAAATCTTCATGCATAGTACAATAACCTGACATTTGCAAAAAGGTTCTTTAAACCCGGTATCGTGAGGCTGAGAGCTGGCATGAGGCGACATAATGCGTGAGTCGTATGAGTGGAGAATAAATTCCTCGCGTGACGTTCCGAGAAGACATTGAAATACGACGACGGGTGGACATTTTGGCGAGTTCGTCCAAAAGTCCGCTATCAGATCATTTCCACCCGCCGATGCTCCAAGTACAGATTATAAAAGCAGGCATTCCTGACCGCGGCGTGCTGCGGCGTTACGGATCTAGACCCTCTTCAGACTTGTATGTCTCATCAACGACCTACCTCCAGTGTTTATTCAGACTCGTTTGAACTCGAGAGTTTGGTCCGCAAATTGTCCCATCAACTCGAAGACCAGGAGCATTATGACTTGATTGCCCTCACGACAGAGCGAGATTCGTTGTTGGGCCAAATTTCGTCACTACGCCGCGAGGTAGATTCGATGGAGCATGCCAGGACAGTCTCGGTGGCGTTGGCTCGCAAGGTACAGCGCCTGCTTCGCAAGACGCAAAGATTGGTCAGGATAGAAGAAGCTAAGTGGGTCGCGAGCCGAACCGTGCTCTAATAGGCTCGTGGGGAGAGGGGCCACTTGTGCAAAACTTGCCCAGCTGGACCTGGTGCCCTAAGCTATGCCGCAAAGCGTATGGTCCGGTTGCGTGTCACTGTCTCCAGTTTTTGATCATAACGCTACAAACGCATTATGCAAATCTAACCTCTGGATTTGTTGCTGCGACAACTTTTGGTTGGTCTTAAGGGAGGGGGATCAAAGAACAGACAGTGAAGTGTATAGAGATGTCAATGCCGTATATGCATGGTTCGAACTGCAATACTTTGCAAGAGCGAGGAGCCAACTGTATAAAAGTTTCTACACAGCGCTCTGCCTAGCATCCTGTCGTTTAAGACGTCGTCGCCTCTTAGTCAGTAGTGTGGATCGGTTTGTGTACATGGTAGAGTATGACATGGAGAAAGGTATCGTCTGCGTCAAGGCTTCTATGCCAATCTACCTTGACCGCCACCCTTTGCATGATTATGAGCCCGTGAGCCGGACAGCTCATACATGGATAGGCATGCATCGCCAGCGCGCCTGTCGCCAATTTGCAGTCGTGCAAGAGGTGCGTCAATCGGTTCTGCCCAGCTTTCGGAAACTCGTGGACATGGCCCACCCCAATGTCATCCGCCCATTAGCACTTTATATCGCTGCTGAGACATTCGTTGCCTATGAGCATGAGCACGTGGAGCTGGACATATTCGACACCATTCCTCTCTCTATCAAAGAGGTCGCTTCAGCCATGTCACACGTATGGTCTGTTGCCAATCAATCAGTTTACAGAAGCCGCTGATCATGTACAGACCATGACCGCCGTGCGCTACTTGCTTTCACTCGGGATCAGCTTTCGCATTGGCGGTATTCGACTGGCAGTGAATGGGGTGGTAAAAATTATTCTGGACTGGGACTTTGAAGCGACCGTCGGTGGCAACACGAGCAAGGCCAACTTATCTTATGTCGCCGTGCATCTAAGTGAGATCATGCGAACCCTCGGCCCCGGCCGGGGAATTACGTGGGCCAGACGAAGTAGGCACTGCTCGTGCCATTTTTTTTTTTCAGAATTGCTCTGAGAAAGTGGCTAGGTTCAAGAAAGCATGAAGATCGTGAATAATGTGTGAGGATAGGAGAAAGAGAACATAATTTCTAGGACGGCCGACACGCCCTTTTTATACTTCGAATGACGTGCCGTAGAATCATGCAATCCAGGTTGATTCAGCAATCTGCCTCGACCATCGCAGCTAACGCTGCGGCCCTGGTGCATGCATTAAACATTTTCAGATCGACTATGTAACTATGTCCTTCTAGTGTTGGGATATGTGGCCGGGCCTGGTAATTTGAGACTTCGCATCCTATCAGGGCCACGGTTTGGAGCTTTCCACCCTCTTGCGATTGCGCCTTGTGAGACGTACGATCGAAATCGAGCAGGTCATTCGGCGACAACATTCGATGTTGGGGAAAAATCTCGACCCTTTACAATCGGCAATCAAGTCCATCAGCACCGTACTGGTTCTGACCTGCAGGACTGGAATTCAAGTCGATAGAACCGCTGCCAACCGGCTCCGCTTCAACAGCACCAAAAAAGTTGTCTAAGCTAGTATCAGAATGAGAATTAGAAATGGCTTATATCGACAAACGTCAGCGACTTTCTACTTAAAATTTGGTCGCTCCGCACATGACTCTCTGGAATTACTTCCTCAGCGATAATGAGTGAATTCATGCTCTCTAGCTATTCGAGCTTTTCACCGCCCATGTTGGGTTCTCATATGCCGTGTCAAGCTGTCTTTATGTGTTGTGCCCTCTATTGCCAATTTGACCTTACATCCTGAAACTTTGCAGAACCATCTTTGTTGCCATGGTGCTAGGGTGTGGACTGCATTGATGTGGGCTTGAAGATCCGTCCATAGAGCAAATGAATTGCTGCAGCCCGCTGTAGTGCATTTCAATGGACGATAATGGTGCAGGAGGTGGCGACTTTACCTCTTAGTTAGTATGAAAGGAGCACATGGCCTTGTCAGGAGCACTCACCTCAATGACTTTTGACTGGTAAAAGCTCCCTCGCATACAAGACAAAAGAATAGGGTCGATGTAGCTGTGGAACGTGGGGCATTTAGGCCGGCTGAGTGCTCGTTTTCGATATGACGTGCTTGCCGTTGCTGCTCATGAAATTTTTCATCCTGTCCAGCAGGTTCTTGGAGACCCGTAGGAGTTTCATGTTCGTATTCTGGAAGCGGGCCGTTGCTGCTGGAAGTGATCCAACTGGGAACCACGAAAGGATATATATGAGTCTGTTCTAGAAGATGCGAGTTGGCTCCTAGCGGTCCTTCTGATTCCTGATCAGAAATGAAAGAGTCTCGCTACGAGAAAATTTGGGGATTAACGAGAACCTGACGGGATAAAAGGTGGACAAAATATAACCATGCAATACAACGGAAGCAAAGCTTGAAGGAGAGGATTGGTTGACGGCAAAGAGTGCGTGCGGGAAGTCCGCTTGGATAAACTGTGACAGAAAAAAGAGGCAGAAAGCTCGATTGCACAGGCAGGAGCACGCGTATTTATATACACGTAGAGAAGTTTGATCTCTCCTCCGGGCCAGGTATGGGACGCTCACCGCTGCACCAAATAGGAGGTGATGATTGGTTGTGTTATGCGGGTATGCCACAAAATCTGCGTGGCGTTCCTAGCTGCATAAAGCCAAATCCAGCCAATGGAAATACGTTGGCCAGGTAGACGAAGATCAGACACGTGTGATGCTTCACTGCCTTATATCGAGTGTATAAAGTTCACACACGACCATGCCATCTTGTTTAGTCTAAAATCTCGTTCTGTAAATGCTTCAGCTGCATTACCCAGTGATCAAACAAGAAATCAGACATGGACTCCCCAATATTTTGTTGCGCTTCAATTATGCCCTATCGTCCACAACATCTCTCTCACGAGAGCAAGTTTACGGCCTTTCTGGCATGGGCTGCTTTCCCGAAGGCCTCTGCAGTAGGTCACGCCGCGGACACAGACGCTGTCACTTGGTCATATGCCATACAGCTAGTACGTCAAGTGAACTACGGGCCACTGGAGGCGAAGAGATACTTCGTCTCGGAAGGGGCTAGTGACAACAGTTTCGTTGAAGTTGATGAAGACGAACTCATCCGAGCCAACTTCCAGAAACTCAACACGTGAGTATATCAAGTGCCACTCTCAGCTCGCTGCCTGATAGATGGAATCTAGTTATAAGAACTTTAAGTGCGATGCTCACAACAAGTTCTTCGAGGTCAATGTCTACCAAAAAGATCCAGTCAACAAGCATCACTGGCGATCGAATTTGGCGAGACCAGCGCGAGATATTGACTTGAATGCGCAAGAGAGAACCGAGAAGGCGACCATGCCATCTAGTCAAAGCCAGCAAACCCAATTTTAGGCCGTGTCTGCGGGTGTTTCGGCCACTGATCCTAGTGATAGCGCCACCACGTCCTCGTGCGGTTGGAATCAACTCAGGTCGAGCTCTGTGACACTCAAGCTCTATGACGACAGCTTTGAAGAATATTTCAAGGACTTGACAGCATACGATAAGGATTGTAGTTGCTACGGTCATTGCAGCTACTGAAAAGGTAGTATTGGACTTAAGATAGGGTAGATATTAACTTGACGTACTTCTTTTCAACAAAGGAGAGGCTTAGATTGGCTTGCACGGTCTCTTGAACCCTCCGGCTAGTTTCGACGATTTCCTTCATGTCTTTGCAGATGTTATGTGGCTCGAAGCGGATCAGAAAAACCATAACGGCTACTTTTGTGTCACATAGATCATTCGTTGCGTTTATTGTCTGTCGTTTCGGCTGCATAGTGAAATAACAAGTCACACGTAGACGTCACACTCGCCCTTTGCCAAATAACGATCAAGTACCGAATGACATGATGAGCCTCTCGGCCGTCGACGTATTCCGACGCAAAGACGGGGTTGATGGCCGATTCATGGTGCCCGGGGCATCTTGCCACTTCTTCATGCCGCAAGGTACCAGCCTATTCATCGAGAAGTCGCCCGTGAGATCGATTATCTGGTCAGTAAAAGCTGAAATGGGTATCGTTAAAGTCGGCGCTTTGTGTCGTTCGCTAGGCGCCGCCGCTGAATGTTACGTAGCGTATGCTGGTCAAACTTTGCAAGAAATTTTTTGATAAAAACCTAGAGTGGTGCGAATGCCTTTGTCAGGGGTTCGTGACGTGTCAATGGTACAGAAAGGCGAGTCGGTGAATGCTGATAGGCCGAGTGATCCCGTGCTAGGGGATCTTAGGTTGATGGTGAGCTCGTTGGCGGTGTTTTCCACTTCAGCATACGATAGTCGGAGGCTCTGTTGTTCTTGGTTAAATTTTATGATGTGAAGTTGTTTTTGTGCTTTTCTGCAAATTATGAATTATCTGCAGCATCGTGATTGCCTATGTTGGGTTTTTGTTGCTTTGGTTCTGCTCATGCGTGGGTTTGGTGCTGTCGAGGGTGTTTCTAGGACCTCGATTTTGTTAGCGGCGGCTTCATCTCCTGACTGCTGTTGGCGTTGAGATGCATTTTCCTTGGTTTTTTGCGATGAATTTGGCGATCGCTTCGGTCTTGTATTCTACGACGCGCTCGTCACGAATTTATTAGAATCCTCTATCTTAAAAATCCGTCCGGTCTGTGGTATTCTGCTGGCAAAGACCGGGACAAACGAGTTGTTCACAAATGTTGCCACCAACGAGTGGCTGGGTAGCATCTGAGTGCGTAGGTCAAATTGAAGATCATCGTTTCTTAATTGTTCCCGTCATATGTAGTTTTTACTGTAACATGGTCTGTGTTGTACATGGAACGTCGAGTGGCTAACACAACCCCCCCACGATTCCTTAGGCTTCGTCGTCTTCTATGCGTCGCTTCATTCTTCGTCTAGTAAAGCGAATAGGATTAACAGAGTCGTCTTCACTCTCGATGCTGTCTTTTCTATCCGATGAAAGTGACTCGATGCCATTTTCCAGACTTGAAGAAAATTCAGTATGGGAGCTTTGACACCCTTGGCCGCCACGACAGACACAGGGATGCGCTGGCTTTTCGTGGCAGTCACACTTCATGCTGGCTACAAGTTGTGGGTCTGGAAGACAGCTGAGTATGTCATGTAGGGTAGATCTCAAGTCTTGCAGCGTATGCAGTAGGTAAACTCTGCAAGCGGATTTCGGGTTACCATGGGCTGTTGCGCAGGACCAGTCTGAGGGCGACAACAGCTCATTCTGCAATTCTCTGCTGCAAGCGATGGCCCTTTGCGCCGCTAACGAGCGCACACGGGGCTTTGTCTGGGAGTTATTCTCATGCTGGGACTCATCGCTCGACAGCAGCTGATCACTTTCCAATACAATCTCATCGTCTGGGACAACGAAATCCGCGAGACTACCTGTGGTGTCAGAGTCTATACTTCGCTCGCTACCACACCAGTCGCTTCCTTCTCAAAGTCAGCATAACATACCAAACCAGGATTCAGATCTAATATCATACCTGAGGCTTCTAGAGCCTCGACGTCAAGAAAATTCGGTACTTCCTGCTGGGTATTCTTCATAATGCTAGTAGAATCGAACACTTTATAGTCAAATCATCGAGCGAAGGCGACAGACACTTCTCATATTTTTTTCTGGTTCATAAACTATAAATATTGTTGGCTCGTTGTCTAGATACTCTTTCGGAATTCATTCGATATTCTACGTAAATTCGTCTCTAGGTGACACATTTGAATTGTTGTCAATATCTGATTGTAGAAATGAATCAATACAGTATGAATGGCTTGTCTTCGTAGAAAGACGCCGAATACCCACATCGCAACAATTGACCCGTTTTGTCTAGGACAGTAACAAATTCTTCCCGTCTAGCTTCTTGTACTGTACAACAGGAGTGCGGACCATGATGATAATACGGGCTCTACGTACAGTGCGTGATACGCTGTCTTCGCTTGGCACCTCAAAGCTGCCTTAGTTGAACTGGTTTGCAGAGTCTTATGAGCAGAAAGTCCATTCCTAGCTTTTCCCAGACGTCGTTAGTCTCGGTGTTATATTGCCTAGAAGGGTGTCTATACTCTAGAAATTGCCTTGTATGGAAAGCGGCATGTGCGCCTTTCTTTTGTGGAGGCTGCCTATTATAGTTGCCTAGTAGAGAAGTTGCCTTGCCCAGACATTGCCTTGTCCAGAAATTGTCTTGCCCAGACATTGCCTACATTGCCTTGTCCAGAAGTTGCGTTGTCCAGAAATTGCCTTGCCCAGAAATTGCGTTGTCCAGAAATTGCCTTGTCCAGAAGTTGCGTTGTCCAGAAATTGCCTTGTCCAGAAGTTGCCTTATCCAGAAGCTGCCTTGCCTAGAAGTTAGCAAGACCATGACGTAGCAGTGCATGAGCAGAACAATTTTAGGCTAGGCCAGGGCGCATGTACTATTGTTCACCGGCTGGACAAAACAGGTAAGCGGTGTAGTGAATATACAGAAGAGGAAAGCGGTAGAACCAGAGAAGAGATAGTTTTGAAGCAGGTTGTAACAAACATCTGCTTCGAAAGAACAGGCTCCCTCGCGTACTTGTGTTGAAAGCACTGAGTGTACGTTTCGCCACTAGATACTGGGGAGTTCTACTTTCTGACAGGCGCCGAAGTTCCTGAAGGAGATCTGGGCTCGTGTTTGAAGTGGGGATACCAAAGAGGAAAGATACAAGAAGATTTGGACTGGTACTTTGAAGGAACTTCAGAAGGTACGCACGATCTAGGAGCGGTTGGGCGGCGGCGCGGGGAAAAGATGGCCCGATACAGGCGTCGCCGAAAGTGGCAGCAGAAGCCGCCATTTCCTAAGGCGGGAAAGCCGCGTCAAATAATACCCTATAAAGCTACTCTATTTAATAAGAAGAAGAAAACTAAAAAGAAGAAGATAAAGAAGAAAAAGACTAAGAAGAAAAAGATAAAGAAGAAAAAGACTAAAAAGAAGAAGAAAGCTAAGAGAGCTAAGAAGGCTAAGATAATTAAGAAGTTTCTATTTTAGAAATAAGCTTTACCTCTCTATCTATTAATCTAAGGATTAATAGAAAAGAAGAAGATATTACTCGATCTTCTTCTTTATAGTAAAAAAAACTAAAAGAGTCTACTCTATGAATATAAAGATAGCGCGAGAGAAGATAATAAAAAGAAGAAAGAGAAAATTAACCTACTTACTCTACTAGAGAGGGTTCCTCTTAAGACGCGACCTACCCTAGAGAGGGTTCTTCTTAAGACGCGACCTACCCTAGAGAGGGTTCCTCCTAAGACGTAACCTACCCTAGAGAGGATTCCCCCTAAGACGCAACCTACCCTAGAGAGGGTTCCTTATAAGATATAACCTCCTCTAGAGAGGATCTTCTACCCTTTATTACAAGCAGGGAGACCTCTTAAGATTCAGCCTAGCCTATAGGCCCTTTAATATAACCTACCCTATAATAAGCGCTACTATATTAATAAGAAAATAGCGCTTTAGCGGCTTACTATAAACCCTTCTATACTATCCTTAAGCAAGAGATAACTATTAAGTTATAATATCTTAAAAAGCTTAATAATAATTACTATAGTATTATCTCTAATTTTTTTAAGGTATAATATAACTACCCTTTGTATCTATAATAGGGTACTTAAGAGGAGATAGCCCTAGGCCCTACTACCTCTAGTAGCCTTATAGAGCGTCTTAAGATAGCTATAGAGAGTTTAGGCTACTATCTCCCGCCAATCTAAGCTATATTTAGAGGTAATAATAGCTTTAATGCTACTTAATACCTTCCTAAGTAGAGAGACTTTCTCTCTTAAGAGCTAGTATAAGAAGCTATACTATTAGAGTCTTGCCTAGAGTAAGAGATCTAATCTAGTATCGATAGATACTAGGATATTAATAGTATCTAGCTTAAGCTTAAGAGCCTTAAAGCTCTACCCTAAGGAGAGACCTTATAGCTTTCTCCTAACCTCCTATTAGCCTATATATTTAATACCTACCCTACTATCGAGCCTTTTAGCCTAAAGCTTAACTATACCTAGAATATACTACTAGAGATCTTCTATAATAGTTATATTACCTTTATAGTCTATATCTTTTTCATGTATATAGCTTAAGAGCCTTGCTAATCTTATAGTTTAAGTTACTAGTAATAGGGTGATTTCTATAATTATATTATCTAGCTAGCTCTCTAATAAACTATACCTAGTATCTACTAATAGGAATTCCTAACTTCTTTTAATACTATTAATTATAAGGTAGGGTCTTATTAAGAGAAGCCTATAGGATCTCGGGAACTAGTAGATAACCCTTCTAGGAGAACCTACTTATAATACCTAATATCTAGTCGCTATCTCTAGCATTTCTAGGCACGAGTAGAGGCTCTCTATAATAAAGTACTTATTACTATAAAGGATAGATCTTAG